GGAAATGAGCAGAACCGGTGTTGCATTTACCTTTCAGTGACTTGTAACAACACCGTGTACCCCTCAGTGACTTGTAACAACACCGTGTACCCCTCAGTAACTTGTAACAACACCGTGTACCCCTCAGTGACTTGTAACAACACCATGTACCCCTCAGTGACTTGTAACAACACCGTGTACCCCTCAGTGACTTGTAACAACACCGTGTACCCCTCAGTGACTTGTAACAACACCGTGTACCCCTCAGTAACTTGTAACAACACCGTGTACCCCTCAGTGACTTGTAACAACACCGTGTACCCCTCAGTGACTTGTAACAACACCGTGTACCCCTCAGTGACTTGTAACAACACCGTGTACCCCTCAGTGACTTGTAACAACACCGTGTACCCCTCAGTGACTTGTAACAACACCGTGTACCCCTCAGTGACTTGTAACACCACCGTGTACCCCTCAGTAACTTGTAACAACACCGTGTACCCCTCAGTGACTTGTAACAACACCGTGTACCCTTCAGTGAATTGTAACAACACCGTGTACCCCTCAGTGACTTGTAACAACACCGTGTACCCCTCAGTGACTTGTAACAACACCGTGTACCCCTCAGTGACTTGTAACAACACCATGTACCCCTCAGTGACTTGTAACAACACCGTGTACCCCTCAGTGACTTGTAACAACACCGTGTACCCCTCAGTAACTTGTAACAACACCATGTACCCCTCAGTGACTTGTAACAACACCGTGTACCCCTCAGTGACTTGTAACAACACCATGTACCCCTCAGTGACTTGTAACAACACCGTGTACCCCTCAGTGACTTGTAACAACACCATGTACCCCTCAGTGACTTGTAACAACACCATGTACCCCTCAGTGACTTGTAACAACACCGTGTACCCCTCAGTAACTTGTAACAACACCGTGTACCCCTCAGTAACTTGTAACAACACCGTGTACCCCTCAGTAACTTGTAACAACACCGTGTACCCCTCAGTAACTTGTAACAACACCGTGTACCCCTCAGTGACTTGTAACAACACCGTGAACCCCTCAGTGACTTGTAACAACACCGTGTACCCCTCAGTGACTTGTAACAACACCGTGTACCCCTCAGTAACTTGTAACAACACCGTGTACCCCTCAGTGACTTGTAACAACACTATGTACCCCTCAGTGACTTGTAACAACACCGTGTACCCCTCAGTAACTTGTAACAACACCGTGTACCCCTCAGTGACTTGTAACAAAACCCTGTACCCCTCAGTGACTTGTAACAACACCGTGTACCCCTCAGTAACTTGTAACAACACCGTGTACCCCTCAGTAACTTGTAACAACACCGTGTACCCCTCAGTAACTTGTAACAACACCGTGTACCCCTCAGTGACTTGTAACAACACCGTGAACCCCTCAGTGACTTGTAACAACACCGTGTACCCCTCAGTGACTTGTAACAACACCGTGTACCCCTCAGTGACTTGTAACAACACCGTGTACCCCTCAGTGACTTGTAACAACACCGTGTACCCCTCAGTGACTTGTAACAACACCGTGTACCCCTCAGTAACTTGTAACAACACCGTGTACCCCTCAGTGACTTGTAACAACACCCTGTACCCCTCAGTGACTTGTAACAACACCGTGTACCCCTCAGTAACTTGTAACAACACCGTGTACCCCTCAGTGACTTGTAACAACACCGTGTACCCCTCAGTGACTTGTAACAACACCGTGAACCCCTCAGTGACTTGTAACAACACCGTGAACCCCTCAGTGACTTGTAACAACACCGTGTACCCCTCAGTGACTTGTAACAACACCGTGTACCCCTCAGTAACTTGTAACAACACCGTGTACCCCTCAGTGACTTGTAACAACACCGTGTACCCCTCAGTGAGTTGTAACAACACCGTGTACCCCTCAGTGACTTGTAACAACACCGTGTACCCCTCAGTGACTTGTAACAACACCGTGTACCCCTCAGTGACTTGTAAGAACACCGTGTACCCCTCAGTGACTTGTAACAACACCATGTACCCCTCAGTGACTTGTTACAACACCATGTACCCCTCAGTGACTTGTAACAACACCATGTACCACTCAGTGACTTGTAACAACACCGTGTACCCCTCAGTGACTTGTAACAACACCATGTACCCCTCAGTGACTTGTAACAACACTATGTACCCCTCAGTAACTTGTAACAACACCGTGTACCCCTCAGTGACTTGTAACAACACCGTGTACCCCTCAGTGACTTGGTGTTCATCCTGCTCTTCCCCCATTTGATGCTGGTGGTCCACTTCCCCAAGCGAACCAACAAGTACGGAATGTTCTGTGGCTTCTTTACAGCCCTCTTTCTGAGAGTTCTATCCGGAGAACCTGTGCTGAAGTACAACGCGATTATCAAGTACGCAGGATACGTGGAACCTGGCAAGGATGACGAGGTAAGTTATTTCTTTTTATTATGCTTAAGTGGCAGCGTAAGTTATTTATGAGGTCATCTTCTTTTAACAGTTCAATCTCAATTAATGTTCTTTAATTATATAACCCTAACTTGCCGTATAATAAATAAAACAATATCTTTCAATGCCAGGGCAACGACACGTACGGTTATCAGCGGTTCCCGTTCCGAAACCTGATCATGATTCTCAATTTCATCATAACCCTATCCGTCACTTTTCTGTCACAGAAACTTTTCCAAACATGTAAGTTTTATGGAGGTTCCCTTTCCGTTATTTATTTCTGATTTTATAAGTAAACATTGAACTAATTAGTAAACAGTGAGATAATTAGTAAACAGTGAGCTAATTAATAAACAGTCCCATGATTTATAATTATCGCAGTGTTCATAGGATTCAAAATGATTCATTGCATCGAAATGAAAGTTGAACCACATTTTCAGACCCTGAACTACGAAAGTACGATTATCTAGGAGCGGTCAAAGATGGCGAACAAGAACTGGAGATGGAGAAGAAAAAGGGAGACTCAGGGAAGAAAACCACTGAGGGTGATATCTAGACTTTCTAGTGATCAACTGAAGGATTGACCATCAACAATTTACCAACATGATATCATATCACGTGTTGTATGTAGCGTAGATATAACTTAGTTCAGATCTTAATTTCCTATCAAATATGAATAAAAATATAAATTAGCTGTTTAACTAAATATTCGATATATTTTCCATGTATAATGTATATATTCTACAGTTTTTCTACCTCGATTCTGAATTATGGAAATTGAGATGAACAGTGAACACCCAGCAAACCTATCAGCAGTTTATTTGGTTATCCTTCATGAGGCAAAGCTTTTTAACACGCCCTGTTTGGATAACCGTTAGAGTTTTAACGTTTTACTCGCGTAGTCACATGAGTATTTTGAGTATTATTACTATTAGTAGTATTTTGATTATTATTGTCTCAATGTTCCATAATTAGTACTAATTATACCTACTTAGGCTTGTTGTTTTTTGTGTGCTTATGTTTAAATAACATGTAAAGCTGTTTAATTAATCCCATTTTTACAAAAAGTTAAACATGAAATAAAGAGAAAGTGAAACTGGGATGTTAAACGCGAGTCACAAAGTCTCGTGATGAACATTACGTATCATTATGCTGAAGACGTAGTTTATATAAACATATATCATCATAAACATTTAATGTTACACAGCGACCTTCCTTTACAGCTGGCATTCTCTCTTCTGCTTTTGTAGATAATTTGTGCTTTTTTCGCTATCAAATAAGTCTCTCAATTCGTTATTAGACATTTTCAGGCTTTTAAGCTAGACTTATCAACGAAATAAGTAATTATAATTTGATAGTTGGGGACGAAGTGAGAGTCTAAACTCATTGTTTAATACAAATATTTGTCGACGTTTCGGCACACGCCTTTGTCATGTATCAAATTATAGTTTCAAACTAATTACAACACTAGTACAAATCTATCACATTTATTGAGGACGTTACAGAAGGAATTATTTTAATGTCCTAACTCTCCTCACGTCCGAATATGATCGGACCCAAAAACTCACAAGACCCAAAAAAGATTACTGAAATCAGTAATTATTTTACTGTCCAATTACCCGTCCAAATATCAGAACGTGGGAAAAATAAATTATATTTAATTATACAATTCAGGAGTGTTGCTCTGCGTTTCAGCCGCTTACTTTAATGACGAAGACTGATTTAAATACAATATTGCAAAAACTGAAACAATTGTGTGATTTTGGCGTGTAACGTTTGAAAAGGTTCGTATCGTGTTCCGGTATTCGTCTCAATTTTTCCTTTCCAAAAATTATCACTTTTTTATTATTTTCACTCTGCAGGCGTTTTTCAAAATTGTAATTCAAAATTTGGACATCTGTACCCCCCCCCCCCCCCCCCCCCCCCCCAGTCCACCCCGGCCCCCACTTCCTCCCCTGTTGCAGCATTGCACACTTATAAAGCACAGGTAGCAGCTTAGAACTAGGGCTTAGGAAACCATACAGATTTGTTTGTGTCACATACCGCCGTACCTGTCGGTTTTTTGCCACAATTTTGAAAGAGTGAAAATTTGGAATGGGAAGAAAGCTTATAAAGTTTTTGAGAAAACACGTACACCAAAATTTTAAACTAAGAAACTCGCATTTCACGGAAACGGTACTTCACTTTTTGGTTTTTGGCAATAGTTTGAACTAAAGAATTTAAGAAATAGTAAGCCCAGTCCAATATGGCAGTTGTAGTGGACCTGTCCTCACTCTGGGATAACACATTTAAACATTGCTACTTTATCAGTTTATATTTATAGTGTCTCGGTGTTATCATGCTTGTAAGATTACCTTAACCAGCTAATAGTTATACTAACCAGCCTGCCAGAGCGTGCAACCTGTATATTTAATTGCTAAATATGCTGCAATTATTACAGTGTGTTGACTGTGTAATATTTAATAAACTGTGATATCTAATAGTTATAAAACTGTAAACAACATTTAACACTACCCTCCCTCATGGACCTACCTCTCCGTTCTCCTTATCGAATATGCTGTTTTTATTTATCCTCTTGAGTATAGCGTCGAGTATGACAGACTTGCCGATACCCGCGTGACCGGCTAGCAGTATTTTAGCGTTTCCCAGCAGAAGAAGTTCTACAACTCGTGCTAATTTCACCGAGTCCAGAGTTGGGATCGGCATGTCCACCTGGTGTGATTCGTTTAATACTTTCTAATATGTATGGGTTATTTACAACTGCAGAGTGCAGATAATAGAATATTAGCGTTACCTTTAATACTAATATTGATAAAATTGTGAAATTGTCATAGTATTGATATGCACACAGTTTTAGTGTCAACCTTCTCATAATTCAACCTTGATCGACACGTTAGCTGATTCGTTTGATAAAACAAGTTCTAACCCATATTTAAATTATCTGTAATGTTTAGTATTGTTGAAAGTTTTACAACTTTAACTTTAAAAGTTCAATTTAAAAGTTGTAATACTTTCAACACTACTGTAAAACAAAGAATGGCTATGACGTTGTACGCAGGAAAAGAAACTTCTCTTATCCATTAAAACTTTGTCCACAAATTAATAGTTTTTATCTATCAAGGTGTTTTTTCGAGCGGCGCTGCAACTTTTCTTTAAACGCATTAAAAATGTTAAAATGCTGATAATCCATACCTGGTTACCTGGTTACCTGGTTACCTGGTTGCATGGTTACCTGGTTACCTGGTTACCTGGTTACCTGGTTACCTGGTTACCTGGTTACCTGGTTACCATACCTCCATCCAAGCGTTAGCTAGTGCACTGCTCCCCCCGGTTAGCTCGAACCCAGTCTTAACGTCGTCAATATAAGCGTTGGTTGCAGGCAGCAAGGTGTCCCACTGGGAGAAGAGACCGCTCTCTATGTCGAAGTAGTAGCAGAAAACACTCTTCACCCCCGAGGGTAGTCGCACACCATAGGGAGGCGGCAAGTCAAAGAAGTCTCGGACGAACAAATCGAATGAGGCTCTAGCGGATATGTCGGGGTTGGAACCCCATATCTTCATGAGAGATTGTTTGGAGTGACCTCCGAGTGCTGTGTGGGAGTCCATAGCCTCCAGTGCGCTGTCGTCCATGTCTGAATCTCCTGAAATTAATAGATGTGTCAACTTTTGTGACTATTTATTTTAGCAGTACTAGTCGGACTTGAAATCTGCTCACGATACTGTGATTTGATGTAAACTTAATTAATAATTTGTAAAATATGGGTCACGATTAACGCAGTATCGTTGGATCGTAATTTACAAATCCGTAGCAAAGTAAAATACCTTGTAGTCGTATATATTGTAAGAGTTCATTATGTCAAGATACAGACTAATACTAGTCTTAAACTCTGCCCAAATTGTGTCTAGTCTGGACCAATGCTCAGTGACGTCACATCTGATTAACTCTGATTTACAGGTTTATAATAATACATACCTTCCGGGACGTTATAACTTCCTCCAAAGTGGTGTCTTATAATATGTGAGTATAATAGTATTAAATATTATAGTTACCTAGTAACCTAACCGTTCATTGGTTAGTTTTTCTTTAAATAAAATGCTGTGCCAGTATCGAAATGTGAATTTTCAAAAAAACCAAATTTTTTCTTACGATATAGAATAAGGTTATAGCTTATAATGATGCTTTATTTTGGGTTTATTCCAATCAATATCTTTAAGGGCCGGGGTAATTCACAAATTACGTAATCACTAAAAGAAAGGGTTTCTAAAGGTAAGTGTCATTTTAACACAATAGTGTAAAACTAATTACGGAGGGGGAGAAGGTTACAAATTGACCACAAATTGACCACAAATCGTAGATTAAAGTTTGGGCATCTCTCACTATTTTTATAAAACTTCTAAACTTTAAGGTGGAGAGGAAGCCCTTTTTACTTTTCAAGAACGGTATTATTATATATATAATATACAAATATTACAAATAATATATTCATTTTTGAATCTTTCACGCTGCATGAAGGCTGGCGGATGGTTCGATTCCAAGTTACAATTTTTAGACATTCTCTGTTAATTCTTTTATTCTTCAGTTGTTTCTCGTGAGAGGGATAACTTCAAATTCATTTTTAGGAAAGACCTTGTCTCAGAATTCCATAGCACCAAAGTAAAATCCATTTTTTCAATATTCCAATAAATATAATATTTTGTCCACGTAAGCACAAGTAATACCCGTATTAAGTATTAAGTATTTTTACCGCCAAATGTTTATAAAAAATAGTCCATAAACGATCATGACGTCAGAAAATCATTGTGTTGATTTGTTCCACAAAAATAGACAATAGTTGATGTTGCAAACTCGATTAATCATCGAGAAGAAGAGCTGAAAACACTCCGCAAAGCCAAATCGTTAGGCGTTATACAATACAAAGAAATAAATATATTGAACACCGAACTGTTTCTTTCTTCCTTCGATAAAGTCACTCAAATATAAACCTTGATTCCGTTTTTTATGATTGATAAATAGATTAGTTTTTACTAAGATATAATAATGAAATAATAATATTTTAAAGGAATTACCCTAAAACAAAGTAAAACCTTATTATTTCCCGATCAGTATTTGGAAGGTATCTAGCTTTACACTTCTAGAATAAGGATATAGGTATTTGTTACCGACAACCTAGGTAGCTGTAGTTGCAGTCTTGTTCGCGGTACCGACTTTGTAAAATATGTGGAATGTTGACGGGGCACATTCCGTCCGTCCGCGGCCGTTAGAGTCTCATCTCTCTACTGTGCGTGATTGTGCGTGATCGCGTGTGAGTCGCGGCCTTTCATTTTGTAAAACATTATGTAATTTGAATAATGTTTCTCGGCCTCAAGTAGGTAATTGTTGTGTTTTGACGATTTGTTAGTTTGTTGTTATATGTCATTGTCAGCATGTTTCAAATTACAGTTCTTTGCAGTTGGTTCAACTAATAGCTCAGAGGGTATAACAACTATGCAGATAATTACAAAACGATAGTTAATGAGGCTTTCGTCAATTTTCACGGATATCGACCTTACATATTTCAACTTTAATAATATTTGGGCTTTTATTAACTGTGTCTATCGGCGTTTTTTGTGTTGGTAAGCTAGATTTTGAGCGACATTCTACCCAAGCTATATTTATATGGATTTGTGAGCTCATGATCTCGGATTATTAGTCTCTATCGCCATTACCTTTCAGCACCTGTGCAAAATAAATCTTAAGCCACATCGGCATTCTATCAGATTGCCCTTACATAATATATAGCATTGCGTTGGGATCTAATAAAAGTGTTTAAGTTTTATAACTGGTCACGTGGACTATACTGATATTGTGCTCGTTACTAACGAGACTCGGATCAGATATTTATTATTTAACTAGCTGATAATTACTTGTATACTATTGAACAAGTTTTAAAACTAGGTTATCATCTTTAAACTTTAAACCGTTTAGAATTGTCCCTTACCTTCCAGCACACTACCAAAGGCGATGATGTAGCAGAAGAGGTACATTTTGCTGAGGAAGGAGGGTAGTTGGGCGGGGTGTCGCTGTAGTACTGTCTTGTTTTTAGCCGCTCCTGGGTCCTCCGAGTTGGACACTGCCGCTACCACTTCAGCTAAATCTCCTGCAACGTTTGTATCCCATGACCATCGTCAATTAGTGGGGAACAATGTAATATTCAAACACCAGAACAAAACAATGCAATATTAATTGAAGATGCCACGTTCTCACGCGGTTGTGATGCCTTGATAAGGATTAATCTCAGCGATATAGTGATTCTAAGAAATGATTCATTTCAAGTTGTATAATTTTGTTACACGTACCGAATCCCCCGTTCTCGCTGACAATGTTGAGGTGAGCCAGCAGCAGGCTACACAGAGTCCTCACTATGCTTATATCCGGCACGATTATTGGAGTTAGACTGAGCTGTGTCTTCAGGAACTCTAGTCCAGCATCTACACTCATCTCCAGTAGTGTTATTATGAACTTCTTACCAGTTTCAGGTAGCTGAAATATGTGCACATGTTTAGTGTTTAGTGAAATATGCACATGTTTAGTGTGCACTGGGTCACACTACTAGTGGTCACACTACTAGTGTTTAGTGGTCACACTAGTTTATCAAGCAAATCAGAAGTTATGGTTGTAAATAAAGCCAACCTTTCTAACAAAAAACTGGGGTTCACTTAATTTGATCTGATAACAAAGTTAGTTGTGTTAGTTACAGTGGTCACTTCTTATTTCAATTATGCAGAGTTGTCACTATATAGAGTTGTCACTATATCTCTATATAGTGCGGAGTTTTACTCACGTTTGCAGGTAGCTCGTGTTTCCAGCGCTCAGCAAAAGGTCTCCAGCCCAGCTCAACAGGGTCCATGTAAACCATGCCGCACCGGGATATGGTAGCTGGGGAGGCAAAGGAGAGGTCGTCTACCTCAAACAGGATCCTCATTCGTGGGAGGAGCGGCACTCTCTCACCTGGGAGAGCAGATCTAGTGTAATTTTGAAAGGACATTAAAATGACCCCTCGAAGGCATTCATGACCAGGATTTAATTTAATTACTTTATCGGACTTTATTTGAACGGACATTAAAATTAACGCTAGGGCCTCCAGCGTCCAATTAATGTCCGTTCAAATAAAGTCCAATAAGGTAAATTTATGAATATCCTTCTGGAGATTTGTTCCTATTCATAAATAATGAATGAGACTAAAATATTGATGATAACCGAGTTTATTAACCGTTGGCAAGACAAAGGGTCCTGGTGTCATCTAGAACTGTGTTGAGATTCTCAACCCAGACTGGATCAACTGGCCCATCCAGCACCAACCACTTCCAGTTCTGAAACGTCTTAGTGATTACATGCGACATTGTGACAAGAGAGCTATCAAATGGGCCTAATTAGGTCGTTAATTAGAGTAATAGCTTAATAGAGTTGAGATAGATTAGAAACTTAGAAAGTTAAATAAAGTCGACAGATAAAATATGTTATGAATCTCACATTAGTAACGAGATCACTTTTAGCGTTGCTGGAAGGAGTCTCTGGAAGGGATCTGTGATCATCTGTCGGGGTCGGGGCACCTGTAAAAGGGAAATTTAAATCCTCTTGATAAATGTATTAGTAGTAAGACTTCTCAGATACGTTTTAATCAAAATTATGACTTTAATAACGTGGCTGATGGTTTTAACACGCCCATTTCTCTTTGCATTTTCACGGTCTATTAGTTGACAAGAATGCAATAGAGCAATAATTTTTTCTGAGTTGAGTAAGTTAAGTTAGCTAGCTGGAGAGTAACCCTCATCAAGTTAAGGAGATACTATCAATAATATAATCTGCTAAAAACCCATAAAACGTCCGCGCTATAAAATAGAAGCTGCTATCAGCATACCAGTATTATGATACCACACATACGAATGTATCCGTGGACTAGTAAAGTGCTGTAAACTATGTGGCTTCTCCAGTGCTGAGTAAGCACTCATATTATCGTCTGAGTCAACTTAGCATTTCCTTGAATTATCGTGTTCTATCAAAGTGCTCACCTATCGTTTAGAATTTGAGGTGCTTCAAAAAGTTTTCAACGTGTTAACGGATAAATATTTCTAAAACTTGAATAAATCAGGGAAAGTCAAATTATTCGAATACCCGTCGGAATTTCCGTCAAACCAATGACGTGGAAACCTCCAGTTAGATGACTTTTAATTGCATTAGAATTTGTATAGTGTAAACTAGTAAGTTTTTAATGCAGTAGCTGTGTTACGATAGGAGGTTGTAAGAAGTGTCACTCGGGAACCACTCCAACCATCACTTGGGAACCACTCCAACCATCACTTGGGAACCACTCCAACCATCACTTGGGAACCACTCCAACCATCACTTGGGAACCACTCCAACCATCACTTGGGAACCACTCCAACCATCACTTGGGAACCACTCCAACCATCACTTGGGAACCACTCCAACCATCACTTGGGAACCACTCCAACCATCACTTGGGAACCACTCCAACCATCACTTGGGAACCACTCCAACCATCACTTGGGAACCACTCCAACCATCACTTGGAAACCACTCCAACCATCAATTGGGAACCACTCCAACCATCACTTGGGAACCACTCCAACCATCACTTGGGAACCACTCCAACCATCACTTGGGAACCACTCCAACCATCACTTGGAAACCACTCCAACCATCACTTGGGAACCACTCCAACACTCACTTGGGAACCACTCCAACCCTCACTTGGGAACCATTCCAACCATCACTTGGGAACCACTCTAACCTTCACTTGGAACCACTCCAACACTCACTTGGGAACCACTCCAACCCTCACTTGGGAACCACTCCAACCCTCACTTGAGAACCACTCCAACCTTCACTTGGAGACCACTCCAACCCTCACTTGGGAACCACTCCAACCATCACTTGGAAACCACTCCAACCATCACTTGGGAACCACTCCAACCATCACTTGGGAACCACTCCAACCATCACTTGGGAACCACTCCAACCATCACTTGGGAACCACTCCAACCATCACTTGGGAATCACTCCAACCATCACTTGGGAACCACTCCAACCATCACTTGGGAACCACTCCAACCATCACTTGGGAATCACTCCAACCCTCACTTGGTAACCACTCCAACCCTCACTTGTGAACCACTTCAACCCTCACTTGGGAACCACTCCAACCCTCACTTGGGAACCACTTCAACCCTCACTTGGTAACCACTCCAACCCTCACTTGTGAACCACTCCAACCCTCACTTGGTAACCACTCCAACCCTCACTTGTGAACCACTTCAACCCTCACTTGGGAACCACTCCAACCCTCACTTGGGAACCACTTCAACCCTCACTTGGTAACCACTCCAACCCTCACTTGTGAACCACTCCAACCTTCACTTGGTAACCACTCCGACCATCACTTGGGAACCACTCCAACCATCACTTGGGAACCACTCCAACCATCACTTGGGAACCACTCCAACCATCACTTGGGAACCACTCCAACCATCACTTGGGAACCACTCCAACCATCACTTGGGAACCACTCCAACCATCACTTGGAAACCACTCCAACCATCAATTGGGAACCACTCCAACCATCACTTGGGAACCACTCCAACCATCACTTGGGAACCACTCCAACCATCACTTGGGAACCACTCCAACCATCACTTGGAAACCACTCCAACCATCACTTGGGAACCACTCCAACACTCACTTGGGAACCACTCCAACCCTCACTTGGGAACCATTCCAACCATCACTTGGGAACCACTCTAACCTTCACTTGGAACCACTCCAACACTCACTTGGGAACCACTCCAACCCTCACTTGGGAACCACTCCAACCCTCACTTGAGAACCACTCCAACCTTCACTTGGAGACCACTCCAACCCTCACTTGGGAACCACTCCAACCATCACTTGGAAACCACTCCAACCATCACTTGGGAACCACTCCAACCATCACTTGGGAACCACTCCAACCATCACTTGGGAACCACTCCAACCATCACTTGGGAACCACTCCAACCATCACTTGGGAATCACTCCAACCATCACTTGGGAACCACTCCAACCATCACTTGGGAACCACTCCAACCATCACTTGGGAATCACTCCAACCCTCACTTGGTAACCACTCCAACCCTCACTTGTGAACCACTTCAACCCTCACTTGGGAACCACTCCAACCCTCACTTGGGAACCACTTCAACCCTCACTTGGTAACCACTCCAACCCTCACTTGTGAACCACTCCAACCTTCACTTGGTAACCACTCCGACCCTCACTTGGGAACCACTCCAACACTCACTTGTGAACCACTCCAACCCTCACTTGGAACCACTCCAATACTCCTAATTTGCCACCGTAATCTGTTGGAGCATTTTGAGCTTCTCGGAAAGGTTCCAAATGCGGTCAAATGTTGAGGTCACAGCATGGAGGATTGAGTTGTTGCCAAGAGTTTTAGTATTTGTGTTTTCCTTGTTTATCGAGCAGTTTGGTGGTCACGCATCATGTGACATGTATACTGAAATGATAAAGTAACGGAACTAGAAGTCCCCAGTTCATAGTTTGCTTGCTTCATTAGTTCATTAAGAGATGTGTCTTTATCATGTTATGAAAACAAATGTCTCTCCCTGGGCTCTCTCCCTTGTTTAATTGTTTTCGCATGTATCCCTCAGTATTTCATACGCTGTGTTAAATACCTTTCACTCTTTAGTTGGAGATACTTCCTCATTCATGTTATTACTACTACTACTACCTTATTCATGTTATTACTACCACCTTATTATTACTACTATTTACTATCACAGTTACCGCTAGCCACTTCGCTCTGTCTATCTTTCTACAACTTCATAATAATATGACATTATGCTCCGGCTTATTAATTAAATTAAACGGAATGGAATAAGCCTTTATTTACAGAGCAGCCCTGGTCAGCCGCGTAGCCGCAATGGAACTTGTGGTTTTGAGGTTGACTGAGCCCGGACAGTGACTAGTGCCGGTTTATCGCCAGCTTGCACCGTGGTTAATGAAATGCACCACGGCCCGGTGCTTTCTCGCTTCGTCTAGCTATTTGTTCAATTAGTTTCACCAAAATTCAACCTTTTTATTGCACAGTAAATCGAATTTATCGCAAGTGTGAAGCTTTTAGTTTGTAAATGTTTGTATCTCAGCACAAGCAACCGTTTCCGCAACGTTACCCTATCTTCAACTTACAACAAGGATATTTAATTACCGGGCTGTGTTTTTATATTCGAGTTGTGTTTTTCTGCTCAAATATTTAATTTAATATCCTAGCTTGTGTCTATGGAAAACTTTTTTCACACTAGTTATATATCTAGGTAGGTTAGGTATCTTTTGCATTTAGTTAGGCGTCTTTTGCATTTTTCGTTCTGCCCGTTTTTGTTTGTTGAAACGAAGAAATAAGTGTAAAATGATACAATTGGCAGAGCACAGAACAAAGGTTTATTTCATGTTCATTTCCCACCTTTAAATTGGAAATAAAGCGACCAGTTCAATATATACTATACAGTATAATAGTTGGCACAAACTTTCGAGCGGCCAATTAGAAAGTTCTATCTACATCCGTAGTGCACTTCCAGCACACAACTTCAAAAGAGTGGTAATAACAAAAGAAGCTTGCTCAGTGGGGTGTTAGCTAAGCTACACTCTGCTTATATCAGAACTAAGAGTCTAACAGCTATTGTCTGATACACTGCCACCCCTCCACGCAGTACACTGCCACCCCTCCACGCGGAACAATTAAACGACTGTTGGAGATTTACCGTACACAGGGTGGTACAGCGTCTCCAATAAGATCTTATAGTCTCCTTTATTGTCATATTTCTCACATTGTTTCTAGCCGAGCAATTAATTTCATAGAAGAGCAGTTTAACTTAAGCTAAAGCAGAAACTTGTTTGATCTTTGCGCTTTACTCGTCATTTGTTATATCCAACATTGATTTAGTTTTATGAGCGGTATTACTAATGTTATTATATTAATTACAACGTTTTTAGCCCTTCTTATGTGATCCCGTTATCTTTATAGGCGGTGGTAATTGGTATGAATGAGTGACTAAGGCCACTTGGTAATGTAGCTAGGCGCAGTTGGGGCATACTGCATAGTTGGGGCACAAAATTAAAATTCCTGTCTAGTGTCTACGGTTAATGAAATGCGAAAATATAGCAAGTGCTTGTTCATGTTTCTTGTTAAAAAGTTCAGCAAATATTTCATTTACGAATAAGTTGACAGTAAGGAAGTTATAGCAGGCCTGTCAGCTCATCAAATTATTTTGCGCTAAACATAAAAAATATTATATGTTTAACTTCACTATTTAGATATGCGACTGCTGTAGTATTATAATCACTTTTTGCGACTACACAATTTCATCTTTTTCAAAATGATATTAACCGTTTTACTTTTATAAACTATTTACAACCTTTGTTTGTTGTTATCAGCTTATTAATATCAGCCGGATGTTTAGTCTTATCTTAGTGCTTATCTTTATGGTGTGCGGTTAGTTGTCATTCGTCGTTTACATTCAGTATTACCTAAAATATATTCTGATGTTGTTTGAATGAGTAAGTCGTATTTTATCGGATTATATTATTATATACTTACTTACTTTACTTTACTTTATATACTGGTATATATATATTATATTACTAGATCAAGTTGAAACATTATAATGTCTGAACTGGACTATTATATTATATTACTGGATCAAGTTGAAACATTATAATGTCTGAAGTCAGAAGTGGTCATTTCAATATTTTTACTTCTCTCGATATATTTACTAAAATTCGATCAATAAGTTTATCAAAATATCATAAGTCGTTTTGATTAGATCTATGGTAAACAACTCAGTGTACTCTCCCTTTCAGCAGTATTCGTATTAGTTCTTCCTATTTTAGCTGCTTATTTCATGTTCTTGTCTCTTCAGATAAACTTATTTCTAGAAGGCAGTTTTTCCCAAGTTCCCACGTTTTAAAAATGGTAAATAGAGCACAATATATACCTGATTTTCACAATTTTAGTCAGTCATTCTAAAAGTCAGATTTTAACCGATGAATGTACAGTACAGTTAGCACGATAAGATAGATACGAAAACATGGCCGACGTAGAAGTAGATCCTATCGATGTCCCGGATAAGCTGGAAAAGAAGCTGAATGTCGTTGGCATGGTCGGACTCATCGTCTTCTATCTTATCATTTTCTTCGCTGGAATTCTTTCTCACAAGTAAGTAATATTTGATGCTTTATTAGTAAACGATTAAATCGCATGTAAAACGTAACCATCGCCTCCCCATAAAATCTGGGTAAGGGGCCAAAAAGGGCCAAATTTTTATTGAGGTTTCTAAACATTTTGGGGAAAAAAAGTCAAATATTTGTTCGGTTTTCGAAGTCCGCACCTACCCTTCGATGTACGATTTTGGACTCGAGGTTCCCCTTTGCAATGCTATCTCGGAAGGCAGGCCTCCCCTCCGCAATACGAGCTCGGAAGCGGGAGCTCGGAAGCGGGAGCTCTGCCTTCAGAGGTACGTATCAAGAATGAATCAGACCGACAATTTTTCAAAGTTTTTCTAGAAACTACTTTTGTTCATGTTTCATGCTACCCTGATCATTATGAGCCGAAAATATTATTTCGGTTTTCTGAAGTCTGTACCTACATTCGGTCTTCGGAAGGCTGTGGATGTGATTGGTTTCATATACTTATACAAAACGTGATATTTGGCCCGCAGATTTAAAGGAAAATACGCGAATTTGGTCCTCAGATTTAAAGGAAAAATCGTGATTTGTCGCGGAGAACTGAAAAATCACGATTTGTCGCGAGGATCTGAGAAAATCGCGATTTGTTGCGGCAAACGTGAAAAATCTTCACTCTACGAGTTTAACAATTTCCTAATAATAGAGTGCTGAGGAGAAAATCAAGAAAAGATATCAGGAAGACACAGGTTGAAAATGAAACTGAAGACATGATGTTGGCTGGTCGGGACATCAACTACTTCGTGGGCGTTTTCACCATGACAGCAACGTGGGTTGGGGGAGGTTATATAAACGGTTAGTTTCAATAACAACTTTTGTGTGTCTAAAATACTGAACACTGACGATGAAGTATGAATACAAGATTAAACCTCATTTTATACGGCTTGCTTTTAATCTGTTATTTAAAATAACTTATTTTACTTACAAAATATGAATAAAAAGTAAAAACTCCTATTTTCTTCTTTCTTTCTTTTTTAAACAAATATACCAGGAACCGCGGAGTCTGTGATAAAGAACGGTCTTGTCTGGACACAAGCTCCGATAGGTTATTCAATATCTCTCTTCCTGGGGGGCTTGTTCTTTGCGGAGAAGATGAGGAAGAGAAAGTTCGTGACAATGTTAGATCCTCTGCAGGAGAAATACGGAAAACCTCTCGGAGCTCTCTTCTACATCCCCGCTTTCTCAGGCGAGGTACGCTTACAAATACAACTCACATGCATGAAACACTGTACATGCAATGCTTACTTATAAGGTTTAGATAGCTTGCCAAGATATAATCAAATAGTTGATGTGGTTTTATAATTCCTGGATTTGATTTTTAAACAATTTCAGATTCTTTGGTCCGCATCCATCCTAGCTGCTCTGGGAACTTCACTCAGAGTCATCTGTGGTATTGATGATACTACGTCTATCATTGCCAGTGCAGCCATAGCAATGACCTATACTCTGTTCGGAGGTATGCATGTACATTATACATTACTTGTACTTTGTTGCAAAATTCAAATATTGCAGGGGTTTTTCGTTGAAGATCGACTTTAGAGTAACCATCACAAAATAGCGAGGGAGTTATTTGTTGAACGTTTAACTAACAACAGCTAAATTCTATTTCAGGGTTATACTCCGTGGCCTTTACCGATGTTTTCCAACTGATATGTATATTCTTTGGATTGATATTCGCCATTCCATTCATGGCAACTAGCCATAATGTGGATATTCCTCTGAGGAGTTCCAATTTGACCATGTTCATGGATCAGGACCAAACTTACTCCAAGTTCTTTGGAAAGCTTGACAAGGAAGATGCAGGAGTTTGGGTAAACGATGATTATAACAATAACTTTGTAACAAATGGTATTACCTTTACAGGGGTCGGGGAGAGCGCCACCTCAGTCAGGGATCCCCAATCCAGCTTATTTAACTGAATGCTATAATAATTTACCTCATTAACACACTTCATACAAAGGGGCAGTCTTCTATTCTTCTCAGAGTTCCGAGTTAATCATTACAAATTCCCTCCTCACGTCCATTTCTCAAGACTAGTTATTATTCAGGTTGACTATGCCATCATGCTGATGCTTGGAGGAATCCCATGGCAAGCGTACTTCCAGCGAGTCCTGTCAGCTAGAGATGTCAGCGTTGCTAAGACCCTTTCCTTCATTGCTGCTTTCGGGTGCTTCTCTGCTGCTATTCCTTCTATTGTAATTGGTGAGTTGTGTGTGAGACAGAATCGAGACAGAAATTAAAATACTTAGGTATCTGCAAAACTAAATTCACAGATAAATAGATTATATCCTTATTTTTATAACATCCCTGGTAATTGTAATTTGTATGCGCTCCATATAATGACGTCTTTAAAAACAGAAAACAACAATTTTTCAGATTATTAGTTTCTTTAACCAATAATAATTTCCAGGTTTGATAACAATGAACACAGATTGGCCAGGCACTGACTACGGAGAAATGCTCCTTCCAAAAGATTACAAATTAGCTGTTCCTTTGACTCTGCTCTATCTAACGCCGCCAGCCGTTGCTTTCATAGGTTGGTTATTGTTAGCTAATACATATTTTACTTTAAACACAGTAACAATTAATAACTATAGGATTATTTGTATGACAATGAAGAGCATGATCTCCATGATTATCTAAATACCCCAGGTCTTGGAGCAGTAAGTGCTGCCGTAATGAGCTCAACCGACAGTTCAATCCTTGGAGTTAGTACTATGTTCACCAGGAATGTCTTTGTAAACGTAATCTACCAGAAGGCATCCGACAAGTACGTCTAATCGAATTATTTTGGACGAATGGGGAGAAAATAGGGGGATATAGGGGTATGGGGGATATGGGGGGGGGGGGGGGGGGGGTATGGGGTATGAGAAGGAGGCATGGTAGGGATGCGGCCCGGGGGAAGAATATTGAACGATTTTGAAAACTGTTTAATTGGGACCCTTTCGCACGGCTGTAATTAGTAAAAATAAGACGAAATCAATTATAATTGTATTCTTCATCTTGTAAACACTATAATTTCAGACAGACTATTTGGTTTTTGCGAGGAACAGTTTTCGTAAACACGGTCATTGCTATGATCATAGCTATATGCGTGAAGACTGTGTACGGACTCTACTTGATATGCAGGTAGAAAACAAATACATACCATCAATTTACCTGGGGACCTCAGGCTATTATGTTCATAAACATAACGGCCAGGTAGCGTAGTTGGTTAATCATCGGATTTGTAATCGTGAGATTGCGAGTTCGAAACCCACTGCCTGCCTAGTCGTGGGGTGAGTGTCGTCGACATTCAGCTAAAGATCCTGAGTGGTCTATGCAGCCCCCCGGTCTACTCAGCCGAATATTCGAGAAATCGTGTGTGAGGGTTAAATGAGAAGCTGTCCATTGCAGCGAAGTCTCGGGCGAAGAAAGTATGGTACACACTACCTTAACCGTCACTGGCCTAATTAAAATCCTTCTGCTTCCTGTAATTGGCTAGTTACACTTGTGTAACAATGTGGCTGTTGGAATACTCCGAAGTAAAATAAGTGTGAGATAAAAAAAATAGAGATTCGGCGGAATGACAGGCTGAGCGCGGCCCAGTAAACCATCATTTAGCATCTGTTTATCCTTTCTGTTTTATCACTTGCAAAACAATACATATAATATATACAAACGAATTTAATCCTTCAGTGATTTGGTGTTCATCCTGCTGTTCCCCCACCTGGTGATGGTGGTGCACTTCCCCAAGCTCACCAACAAGTACGGAATGTTAGCTGGATTCACTGTAGCGCTCATTCTAAGAGCGCTATCAGGGGAACCGGTACTGAAGTACAACGCCATCCTCAAGTTTCCTGGTTACCTAGAACCCCATTACGATGAAGCTAACGTGAGTTATGCTAATTTTTAAATGATCAAACGTGATAAGCGATAAGAAGTCTGAGAAGGTCAAATATTTTCAAGATATATTTACGATTCTATCGTATTTAACTTTAAAAGTAATTTCGTACATATGTATCAAATTATGCGATACCAGAGTAATATTATTTATTTAACAGGTATACCAGTATGGAAGACAGAGATTCCCCTTCAGGAATCTCATCATGATTCTCAACTTCCTCATAACACTCTCTGTTACATTCCTCTCTAAAAAACTCTTCGCCAAATGTGAGTTTAGTATACAATACAGTATCAGAAGGCTATGTTAATACAAATTCCTCAGAATTTGGAATGTGGCGTTTAGTTTTTCAGACTACGATCATTTTTATGTCCTTTATTTTCAGACCCTGATCTGCAAAAGTACGATATTCTGGACGCTGTGAAGGACCAAGAAACAGACAAGAGAGAACGTCTTCAAAATGAGAAGGAAGGAGAAGAATGCATATAAACTCGAGTTCGTAGAGGTCCACACTCCACAAGCTTGTAAAGTGAGGTTCTTAGAGCTTCAATTAAGCTGTGATCGTGGATCTGTTGTAATCTATTTGAAATAGAATTATAACAATAACATTGAGTAACAGCTGGGTTATTATAATGACAGTATCTAATGGGTGAGTCACAGGATGTAGGAAATGACTAGTTTAGGCACTAAAACGAGTTACTAAAAACTAAACCCGTTTTTTCTTGGATATGTGCACAAAATAAGGACATGAAGAACAAGATGGGAAGTAGAATTACCTGCACTTTTGCTGGTGTTGTAGCTAGACCTGGACACACTTTTAGCTGAGAAGCGACTTTTAGCTGAAGCCCCTGTTCTACTTGGTGTACCTTCCATCTGGTAGGGCGTGCTCTCCTGAAATTGTATATTTACCTTTTCGTAATCACAATTCAGGCTTTTCGGCTTGCGTGTTTTTGAAAATTGTAAAATGGTAGATCTACGGATCAGCATATATCCAAGAAAAAACTCACTAGGTTAATTTGACTAAGATATTTAAGAGATTTAAGTTTTACTTTTATTTAAGCAGGACAATACATTTATTCCGTGCATTTTGTTTCAGTTACATAATATACTAATATATAGTTGATATTTCAATAAATGAGTCAGTGGGCTGTTTTGGTTATTTGCATGATATAACTATTGATCCTGATAAACAGATGAAAACTAGATAGAATCTGATCAAAATAGCCCAAGAGTCATTCAACAAAAACTATTTGTCGATTTAAAATAAAATTAGAACTCGATAAGCGTTCAATTTCTCTATCATTAATTCTTGACTTTCAAGATTTTGAACTTTATAATTCATTAAAAACTGAGGATCCAAATTCACAAGAGTGAAAATTCCAGAATAATTGTTAATTATTTAACGGAAGTATCATTACTAATAGTTAATTAACGACAGCAGTGGGTTATCTAATATCGACGTATTGTTTATTTAACCTAGACATTATTGTGTTTATCTGGTATCGTTTTAATAAACATATTTTACCAAAATCTTCGTTTCATTCTCGCTGGAGCTTCATAATAATACCGTGCATTCGCTCTATATCTTTATCTGCAATTTCTGCATACAACTTTTTGAAGGGCGCAAAATGGGCTGGGTAGTTTGAATTCTTTGGTTTTTTGTCTCAAAACATGCTTTTAATTTCAAAGCAGGACTTATAGTAGTAGTCATAGCACAATTTATTTTAAAAATCTGTCGCCAAATTTCCCTACCAAAGACGGTTAATTCTGAGGGTTAATCGTAAAAAACTTACTTTAGCAAATCTTTGTAAGTTTGTATGATTAATGATGGTACTTACTTTAGCAACTCTCCGTAAAAAACTTACTTTAGCAAATCTTCGTATGATGGTAGCGAGAATTCCATCTGACCACTCGTAAGAGTCCTTGTCGAACTGTCCGTACAACTTCTCCAGAGACACGCACTTCGGGTTCAGTGTCATACACTTTATACTGTCATTAAACTGCAGTATTATTAGTTTGTTAGTGACGTGAAAAGAGTACAGTAAATACTGTATTGATAGAATGATAAAATGGAATGACTGTTGTGATGGTTAGGTGAAATGAAGTAATTACTACTAATTACTACTAATTAATTAGTAATTAGTAGTCATGACCTACTGTTGCAAGAAGATTGAGAATGACCCACCTTATTTTTATTATTCTTATTCTTTATTTGATCAGCTATATTGTTAGAAAAACTGCTGAGTCTCCTTCGTGTCATCCTGTGTTGCGCGAACCTGCTGTTCAGACCCATAGCTTTAGTGAACATGCTAGGATCTAGGATCATACTCGGATCTAACACCGACTTTTTACTTGATCGCATGTTTTTGCCCTGACCCTCCCGCATTTGAGATAACTTTGCAGCGTTCCCTTTGTTGGTGCAGTGACAATTGAATGTGTGGAAACATGTCCCTTTGATTGGTCCTATTCCCTATTTAAGGGTGAGGGTGAGTGGTATGTTAGTGGTACTGGTATGTTAGTGGTATGTTAGTGGTATGTGAGTGGTATGTTAGTGGTATGTTAGTGGTATGTTAGTGGTATGTTAGTGGTATGTTAGTGGTATGTTAGTGGTATGTTAGTGGTATGTTAGTGGTATGTTAGTGGTATGTTAGTGGTATGTTAGTGGTATGTTAGTGGTATGTTAGTGGTATGTGAGTGGTATGTTAGTGGTATGTCAGTGGTATGTTAGTAGTATGTGAGTGGTATGTTAGTGGTATGTGAGGTGTCATAATATACTAATATAGTGAAAAGAAATAAATATTTAAAAGTTGAAAGTTAATATCTTCACGAGCCTATAAAGTACTTTATACTACTAAGTACTAAAATAATTGTGAGAGATAACTCACGGAGGGGGGAGCGTTCTGGTTGAAGAGAGGCTCAGTGTTGGCAAGTTTCCCCAGAGCATGAGCCAGGATGGTCCGACTGGTGGTCTTACCCCCACTAGTTCCCCCTACCTGCATCACACCATGTCTCACTAGCATTGTATTGTAGAGCTGCATTGTTTTGGAGACTTGGGCCTCGTTTATCAGCAGTAGCTGCTCTTGTAACACCTCTTTTATTGCAGTCTGATAACAGTTCAGAGTCATTATATCAATATATTATTTAATTAGTCCCATTAATAATGTTTAATCAACATCAGATGGCCTACTGGGGTTATTTCTAATGAGGCACTCTATGCTCGTTGTTATGTCACTCCCTTGTCTGTGAGAGTCTCTAAGTTTCGATGGAGAATGTTAGGACATATCTTAAGAGGACAGGAAGACTCACCAGCATACACCTCTATGTTATTTGCTATAAATTCTGATATTTTTATGGAAGGGAGACGGGGTAGACCATGTTTAAACTTATTAGATGTTATTAGAAAAGACTTGACTAGTAGAAATCTTGATATTAGACTTAAGAATTTGACTGATTTCGAAGACCTTAGATTTTTGGCTTTAGATAGGGAGGAATGGAAGAAGTTAGAAGATGGTTGATGTTTTTGTTTTCTTTTTTATGCGTTTTGATATCTATAAGGTGCCTAGGATGCTCTTTTAAAGAGATATTTCGTACTTTGAAAGATTTACTACTACTACTAATAATGTTTAATTGATTTAATCACAATTTATACTGGGGAAATCAGCAGTTAAATTACCCGTAAGATAAGAGTATCCTCCTTAAAGTTCTCGAAGGCAGGGAACAAGTCCTCCACAATACCCATAAACAAAGGCACATCCTCCGCGATGAATTTGGGGATACTGGCATCAAACACAGCCTGTAGCAGCAGAGTAGTGTCGTCTATGTGACTGTACATGGTTTTGTTGCGCCTCATCTCCCCCGCTACTTGCAGCACAGCCTTGATAGCGCGCAGTCCGAAGTCGTAGTGGTGTTGCTGGGAGAGCTGTCTGCTGCTGAGTTGGTAGAGTTGGACTAGTTTGCTGCTCAGAACACCTGCTAGCAGGAACCCCTCTGAGAACAGGATCACCTGTAAAGAGGTGTGAGAGATACAGATCACAGCTGGGGAGATTGAATTGTTAGATACATTTCCACAAGAGGACCCTCTATTGGGAACTCATACCAAGAGGAGGAAACTAACCTCGATAATGAGCCCAAAGTCAGGTAAAGTCATGGCAACAGGTCTAAAGAGAGGAGGAAACTAACCTCGATAATGAGCCCAAAGTCAGGTAAAGTCATGGCAACAGGTCTAAAGAGAGGAGGAAACTAACCTCGATAATGAGCCCAAAGTCAGGTAAAGTCATCGCAACAGGTCTAAAGATAGGAGGAAACTAACCTCGATAATGAGCCCAAAGTCAGGTAAAGTCATGGCAACAGGTCTAAAGAGAGGAGGAAACTAACCTCGATAATGAGCCCAAAGTCAGGTAAAGTCATCGCAACAGGTCTAAAGAGAGGAGGAAACTAACCTCGATAATGAGCCCAAAGTCAGGTAAAGTCATCGCAACAGGTCTAAAGAGGAGGAAACTAACCTCGATAATGAGCCCAAAGTCAGGTAAAGTCATCGCAACAGGTCTAAAGAGAGGAAACTAACCTCGATAATGAGCCCAAAGTCAGGTAAAGTCATCGCAACAGGTCTAAAGAGGGGAAACTAACCTCGATAATGAGCTCAAAGTCAGGTAAAGTCATCGCAACAGGTCTAAAGAGAGGAAACTAACCTCGATAATGAGCCCAAAGTCAGGTAAAGTCATCGCAACAGGTCTAAAGAGGAGGAAACTAACCTCGATAATGAGCCCAAAGTCAGGTAAAGTCATCGCAACAGGTCTAAAGAGAGGAAACTAACCTCGATAATGAGCCCAAAGTCAGGTAAAGTCATCGCAACAGGTCTAAAGAGAGACTTGAGATTGTCAGGCAGTTCGACTCTACCAGCGTACCCAGGATTCATGGTTATGAAGAACCCGCAGGTGGGGTTTACTCTTATCTCGTGACCCTCAAACACACACCTGGAGAAACATATTAGTTGACCAGTGATCTAGATCTGGAATAAATTAATTGTTTTTTTCTAAATTTGTTCAAAAACTTATAAATTTTAAATTTTAATTATAAATTATAAATATTATCTTACTATATATATATATAAAGCGAGACGATATATATATATATATATATATCTGTGCCATTTTACTGACACCACGGCATCAACTTTAACGCGACTTTCCGCATAACCCGTAAAAGATATACAACTGGAAATTTTTTGGCTGGGTCAAATGCTTTAATGGCCTTCAAATCAGCATGAAAAAATAAAAAATTGGCCAAGGAATAATGATTTTAGAGCCGAAAATTTGGACCCCCAAGTGGTGTCAAAAACGCCAACTAAATAGGTAATAATTATTTTAGTATTTTGAGTCTTGACACCGTTTAGGGTTATATTACACGGGTTCCTGCTAGTATTTATAATGCGACTTGAGGTTGAATAAATTGACCTTCAAGTACTCACTACGATTATAGACAGTTTTGGGTACAAAATAATCAGACAAATCTTATATAAACCTTGAGAGGTGAGCATCTTTAGCCCTCTTCAAGATCTGAAGCTGCTGAGCCACCACACTCAGCACTTCCAGATCTATCCTGTTAAACTCGTCAAAACAGCACCAAGATCCTGACTGTGTCAGACCAGAGAAGAATCGTGCCAGCATCTTGAAGTCGAGCCCTTCAGAGCAGTTGAACACGACACACTGTTTCCCGAACCCCTTGGAGAGGTCCTTGACAGTCTCTGTTTTGCCGGTACCAGCGGGGCCTCCAGGTGCTCCTCCCAAATGGAGGTGCAAAGCTGTAGTCAGCGTCAGGAAACATCGGTCTGACGGGTTACAATTCGGCTCAGACACGTTTCATGTCAATAAGTTCTAACTTTCAAAATAACTGGTGCACCACTAACAATTTAATAAAGAAATAAAAAAGGACTCATTACCTAAGCTTTCAAAAACTTTCAGCATTTGCAGTGCTAAGGTCAAATTAACACTAGTTACTGTACCTGTAAGAGGTGTGACGACTAATCGAGAAGTGGAGCCCAGATATTCGAACCCGTACTCAAAAACAGAGTTATTCTGCCTGATCATCACTGTATCTCTTATGTCGTCAAAGTTGTAGCGCAGTTGCCGTGTCCATTCGAAATCATCCGAGTTCTGGATCTGGTGAAACGGAATTAGGTTAAGAGTTGTGTTCATCTACTTCTTTCATGCATAGGCATACGATATCAAGTTATACTGTAAAACTGTTAATTCTACGAACAGTGAAAATTAAATATAATTAGGGTCAAACCTGTTTATCCAACAAGTCCTTGATGACATCCCTAGCGTGAACCTCAATAGTAAGCAAGGACTCTAGAGCGAGTCTCTGCCAAGGTTCCATATCTGAGGTAACGTTCTGGGACAGTTGAGTCAGCTTGTCCACCCACATTTTGTGCAGGTTTGTTAGTTTCTGATCTGAGGTGTCACTGTAGAAGGCGTCCTCTATAAGCTGGTTCCAGATAACTTGAGATACCAAGATAATCACCTGACCACTGTTACTCTTCCACCACTCGTGATAAGGTAGGTTCATGTAGGAGAGGAGGGCTCCTTTTATTGTGTACCTTACTACCTGAATTAAACAATGTTTTAATGACTTCATAATATGACCATCTTATATCCAGGAGACATTACTAAAGTCGATAAATAAATCCATTATATTTGCTATTATAAGTTACCTCGAACATGGCGGTCTCTACGAGCCCCATCCAGACTTCCACGTTGCCTCTAACTCTGAGTACCCGGATAAGATCCAGAGTTTCCCCCTCTGCTGACATGAGACCTTTAACACACGCAGACTGGTTAGCTTCCTTTGTTATTATTAGTTTCTTTATGTTACCTGGAACAGTGTTATTATTAACTTATTATTTGGGCTTGAAACTGTAAAATGTCATGTAGAAAATCAGGAAAAGGCTCCATATTAGATTTATAAGATGACTAACCAAAACATTTAGTAAGTTTAGACTGCACAGAGGCAGGGTTCTTGGAGTTGGAGAGGATGCTGAGTATATCATCGTTAGAAAGAAAGTAGAACCGGGAAAATACAAGTCGTTTTGTTTCTAGGTAATCTTCTAAACACTTCAGTATCTTGTCCAGATTAGCATTATTTGCCTGAAAAGAAAGTTCAGAGAAAGAAAAATATTATAGAATCAGGAAATATTGTTTTCGATCATGATATTGATAATATCCTCTATCGAATGTTATGGAGTCTGGACCCTAATTAACTATTGAATGTTATGGAGTCTGGACACTAATTAACTATTGAATGTTGTCGAGTCTGGACATTAAGTAACTATTGAATGTTATGGAGTCTGGACACTAATTAACTAATTAACTTATTAACTAATTAACTAATTAGTGGAGTCTGGATCCTAACCTGGAGAGTCTCCAGAACACCAGGAGTAGTAGCTGCCCAGATAGCATTACTTCTTTCCTGCACTTTCCTCATCAGCTCCTTCCAAGACTTATCCACCTGACTGAACAGTCTAGCTTCTCTCGGCAGTTGCCTGGGCAAGTCATTTCTTAGCTAGAACCTTAACGTAGTTTCACTCTATCAAACATGATGCTCACACATTGGACCTAATATTAGTGCTGAAAAGAGAATTACCTCTGAATATCTGGGGTAGTAAGAATGCTCTCCAAATACATCCAGTTTCTCTGACACGTGATCCACTCATCTAGTGTTACAGAGAACAGCTCCAGCCTCCGGTCCCACTCATCTACTATATCTTGGATAGGGTTCACAAACCTCGACCCCTTTATTGTTGCTATGGTTACCAGACTCTCTTCCAGTGCTATCTGCACATCGTCCACACCTTCATGAGAAGAATGTGGTCACTCATATTCTTATCCATATAAATTTAAACAGAATTATCTAAAAGCAGGCAGATATTACAAAAGCTTTCAACGTTTCCAATTCCTTAATGAGAAAGCATGGTAAAAAAACTAGAATAATTAGATTACGCAACAAACTAACCAGACAAAACGACCATGTCAGGATGGTCTCGGTACGGTACTAAAGTAAACTCGGTTCTCTTCCAAATCTCTATAACCTTCTGTAACATTCCCTCGAGAGTAGCCTCATTGCTAGCTTGTATTGAGATCTTGGCAATGTCTCCTCTCTGTTCGAAATAGGAGGACTCTAAAACCTTTGCTACAGTACACAGTGGGTCCTGCACCACGTTGATACCTGAGGGAGGACAGAGGTTATCTTTTGTAATCCCACTTTAGCAAACTATTTTATAATCTTACAATTTGTTTTATATGGCATACAGCATTGTTATCTCATATTATCAGAATATGATTCATACCAGTGAGAGCCTCAATAGCAGTGAGATGCCGAGCCTTTAGGACGGGATTGCGGAGTGACACCAGGAGAGGGAGAGATAACTTGAACTCCTCTACTCCGATCTTAAGACAGGGTAAGATGTTGTTCACAGGCAGGGCTGAAACGTTGTCATTATCTTTAGGGAGATGCTTCTTTGTTACAAAATAAACATAGGCCACAAAAGTTCTATTGTGTCGATCTTGGCCGATTAGGGCAAATTGTCCACCCCATTTATATTGCTGTCTTTGTTATTTATTATCAATGGTTATTGTTACTATCCTACAGTACTACTAACTGTTTTTTTGTAGTACATGCCCTGCTTCCTTCCATTCCTAAACTACCTTACAAGCTCTTCCTCTTTTACACCCTTTTCAATCACTTCATTTCACTCATTCACTTCATATCTTATTACCACAGTATCTGCCAAAACCAACATGGCCCATGTGGAAGGGGGCCTTGACGTTGTTGACCACTTGGCCCTGCATCCCAAGCTGACGGTCGGCCTCCACTCTCTAAAAACATACCTTCAGTGAAGGCAGATGGTCAGCAAATAGCGATGCTAGGGCTTGGTGTGAACAAATCTTGACCTACTTTCACACCTTAGGGACGACTCTCGCAAATGCGAGAGTAATGACCCCGGGGAGGGCCCCATTGGTTTTAGTAGGTTGCATTTAAAAAAAATAAAATTAAAAAAAAAAAAAAAAAAAAAATAAATAAATAAATAAACATCAACAAATCCCTGAAGCAACATAACAAGCTGTAAAGAAGTAATCCAGCTATTCAAGATAACCTTTAATAACCATCATTAAGTTATTCTAATGTAATTAGACCTACCTTTTTCTAGTAACATAATGGTTTGAGTCATGTGCTTTACTATCTTCTGTATCTCCGTCACATCAATAGTGTGGAAGGAAGAGGAACTCCAAGTGCTCATGTACTTCTTCCAGTCGGTTAGGTTCTCCCAGAGAAGCTTGCGGAGGCGAATGTCTCGTTCACACTCTGACAACTCCAGCTGTAGTAACGTACTCGTACTCTCGCTGGTGTAGGAACTGCGGTAAATCCGGGGGTTTTCAACATTACGTTCAGAGGAATTAGGAAGCCTGAGGAATAGCATAAAGCTCCCGATACAAGTTTGCAGCCTTTACGCTATGTAAAATAATTGTAATAATAATAATAATAATAATAGGATTATGGCCACATAGCCATCTCGACAAAACTTGAAACCCAACTGCACTCTACGCTATTGCAGTTCGCACAATATTTTCAAAAAGAAAAATGTTCCTATCCGGAACATGTAATGATTAATTATTTTAAGGACGTTAACATGTAGTTCTGAATTTATTAATCAAGATACATTGATTCCTCGGTATTTAGCAATCAATGGGTTATTAGACATGAAATATGCATATGAATCATGCTCACATGTATTTATTTTTGACATCAAGGTTTCGCTGAGATCCCAGAAGTGACCCTTTGACGATGCTCCACTCGCTATCAGTTCATTTTTATAACATTGAAGTCGAGCTTTGAATGCGTCTACTGAACTGGCTTCTTTAACCGAACTTGGTACTTTGTTCCAGTAATTGGCAACCCGGTTACTGAGGACCTGATTTCCTCTTTTATCTTTTAGGATCTTGGTACCACTACGTGATATCCTGAAAAGATCTTGTCCATAGTCCACTTTACCCGTCGTTATTTTAAAGGTTTCAATAAGATCACCCCTCATACGGCGCTCCAGTAGTGTTGTTAACTGGAGGATTCTCAGTCTCTCGTCGTATGGTAGGATACCAATCCCGTCGATTATTCGTGTAAATTCTCTTTGAACATCTTCTATCTTCTTAATAGTCCTCCAGTTTCCGTGCTCTGCTGGTAGATTCCACACTTGCACAGCGTATTCGATGTGAGGTCGAACTAGAGTTCGGTAGACATTTAGCATAACAAATTTGTTACGGCAGATCAAGCTTCGTTTGATCCAGCCTATAACAGACTTTGCTTTTTTCACGGACTTATCTATATGGTCACTCCAGTCCAGGTTTCTGGTAGTTAGAACTCCAAGATCCTTTTCTGACTTCACTTGGGGGAGGCATTCCCCATTCATGAAGTACTCATGCATTGGATTGTTACGCCCAATATGTAGAACCTTACACTTGCCATCCTTCACATTGAATCTTAGGAGCCATTCCTTCTCCCACGCATTGAGTTTCAGTATATCATCTTGTGCAACACTGTGCTTAGCTGTGCTCGTTACTAGCTTAAGATCGTCAGCAAAGAGTGATACGAAGCTCTCAATTCCATCAGGGAGATCATTTATGAAGAGCAGGAAGAGCAGGGGGCCCAGCACGGTTCCTTGAGGGACCCCGGATGTTACAGCAATTGTAACTACATAAATAAACAATTGTACTACATAAATAAACCTGTTTGAAGTGTCAGCTCTACCAGAGGACCCGAATCTCGCTTGATAGTCCATGAACTTGTGGGCCATATCAGAGTATTTCTCGTACGTCTTGTGGTAGTTAACAATGGTCTGGAGAGCTACTGAAGCGGACACTTCGTCTGCTAGCACGTTGGAGTGTCGTACCTGGGGACAAGGTTGTCAAGTAGAGGAACAAGGAGATGACGTCACAGTTTTAATAATCAAGAATTTGAAAATAGTCGTGTTTTGTTGGATAAGGGTATAAATAATAAGGCCAAATAAAAGTGCAAATTTGGGAACCTCATCTTTGAGAGTCTTCAAATCGTCGAGAAGACGAGATATCTGGGCCTCCAGATCCTTGCTGTACTTTTTAATGAGTTCGTCTTTAGTAGCCTCACTGTAAGTCAGTGTCGCCTTGAGATGAGTAAAAGAAGGCAGCAGAGTCCTGTACAACGCCAGCTCCTCAGGCGGAAGTGGAACATCAAACTCGTCAGCTACAGCGTACATCTTAGCTATCAGTCCATACTCCTTCTCCATTGTGGGCAGGTCCACCAGCAGCTTAGTCATGAAGGACAGGTACTTCACAAAGTCTGACACATCCTTACATGGTTTCTCTAGACGATGAGTGGCGTCCTGGAGATTAGGAGGATTAGGTTTAGATTAAACATTTAACAGCGATCCTTTTCAGGGAATTCGTGGTTTCTCAGGACATAGAGAGATATGATTTGTAGCACGGTGGACAGAATACCATCAGGATGGAAGACATGTGCAATGGGAGCTGCAATACTGGTACCTTAATATTGATGAGGAGGTCCTCATTTCGTCTGTAAGCAATAACAGGTAACCGTTCGTTAACATCTGATAATATCCGTAGTGGGAAAGGTAGACAAGTATCTCGGAATGGTTGGATCTTCAGAACCATGAGCCCTTCCCTCACTGATATGGGCAACGTCTGCATCGCCTGTAGTACAAACATTTGGTAATCGAGATAACGAAATCTAACAGATATTACGGTTGAAACCTGTTAATAATTAATAATGACCTGTTACAATTAAAATATTTAATTTATTTGTTGGTAATCTTGTTTTGCTCTTATGAGTGGGTCAATCATTTATTTTTAATTGTAGTTGACGAAATGAGAGTCTCCACTCAGTGTGTACACACTGAGTGGAGACTCTCATTTCGTCAACTACAATTAAAAATAAATTTAATTTATTTATTAATATTACCATGACTTGCTCGTGGTGTTTGGCTAGGACCAACTTGAACTGATCACTAGTCCACTCGCCCTCGTCCATACTCTTCTTAACATTCAACTTGGCACACTCTTCTACCATCGAGCAGTACAACATGAACGGCTGCAATTTATTGAGATTTATGAATAAATAAATAAATTTACAGGAGTATCGGATAAATTTCACAATTTGTTAGTAGCGTTAGAATATAAGTCGGAAAATAAACTGACTGTGGCTTTCTCCCAGACACTATCTAGATTCTTGTGCAGCAGCTGGAGTATCTCAGAGCAGTTCACTTTCATTCCAGCATCTTCTGTTACAGACATCATATCAATGTACTGCCCTTCCCATCTGATAAATACTATACTCAATCTTATTACTGGGGAGGGGGGTGACAGTCTTATAACTGGGGGGGGGGGGGGGGGGGGGGCCAGGGCAGTCTTATAACTGGGGGGGGGGGGGGGGGGGGCAGTCTTATAACTGGGGGGGGGGTGGCGGGGCAGTAGTCTTATAACTGGGTACCTTGGGTTCGTTTCGGGCTAGCACGCCCAGGCCAAGACATCTTGCGTCTCCACCACCGGTGTCTCCGTTATCATGTCTTGCTCACAGCCCATTCCAAGATTGAATTGCCATTAGCCCCTGTATATCCAGGGGTAGGAGGGGTGTCGGGGACGGTATGGAGAAAGCGATCAAGTGCTGCCTTGAATTTTGGCGAGGTTGGGAATTGGGATAGACTTGATGTCGTGAGGCACAACGTTATACAAAGCAGAGGCCACTGAAGGGAAAGAATGGAACCTCATGGTGTTGATGCTTTTGTATTTTGATCCGCCAAGAGGACGAATACATGTCACACCTCTTCTTTGAGAGTGTTGGAAAGTAATGTTTACACTGTTGAGAATCTCACCGTAGTAAATTTTCCAGACAAGGATGATCATGTACCTCTCTCGGCGGCGCTGTAGGGAGTAGAGATCAAGCTGCTTCAGGCGCTCCCAGTAGCTAAGATGCTTGTATCCTGCTATTTTTGCAGTGAATGAGCGTTGGATCGACTCAATCATGATTATGTCACACTGCAGGTGAGGCGACCAGAGAGCACAACAATACTCGGTAATAGAGCGGACGTATGTCTTGAAGAGCATCATCATCGTGTCTTTGTCTCTGGTAGAGAAAGTTCTCGGTACCCATCCAGCTTTGCTCGCTGCCTCAGAGGACTTTCTTGTGATGTGTTGACGCCAGGAGAGATCACTGTCAACATGTTTTACAACTATAGGAACAGGTCGTTAATATACAAAATAAATAGCAGTGGGCCTAACACAGTGCCCTGTGGTACCCCACTTAGCACCATTATGACGAGGGATTCAATACCATCTACAACGACATGTTGGGTTCTTCCACTGAGGAAGCTTTCCAGCCAGCGGTGGGCGTTGCCCTGGATACCGTACATATGGAGCTTCTTCAGAAGTATGGCGTGGTCTACCTTATCGAAGTGTGGTACCCCACTTAACACCATTATGACGAGAGATTCGATACCATCTACAACGACATGTTGGGTTCTTCCACTGAGGAAGCTCTCCAGCCAACGGTGGAGGGGGGGGGGGGCAGTATTATTACTGGGGGGAGGGGGCAGTCTTACAACTGGGGGGGGGGGGGGGGAGGGGGCAGTATTATTACTGGGGGGGGGGGGCAGTATTATTACTGGGGGGTAGTCTTATAACTGGGGGGGGGGGGCAGTCTTATAACTAGGGGGAATAAGACTGCCCCCCTCAGTAATAAGATAGGGATATAGATAGAGGGAATAATAACTCACCCTTCAAAAGGACACTGCTCCGACTCCATGACATACTCGAACTTGACTCTAGTAACAAAAGAAGATAAGCTAGCATCGTGCAGAACGGACCCGAACTCTGACACTAGCTGCTTGATATTATTGGTGATAGTTCCGAACGCTTCAGAGCACACCTCTTTAGAGGGAGATAGTGAGAGCCCGTACTTTTCAGTAAGAACCAGGGTAATGTCGAGGAGGGGTGGCAGAACGTTAGGTTTTACAGGAATTGGGAGCGGCACGAAGTTAGGATCCTCCACCTCTACCTCGTCCTCATCTGCTAGGATTCCTTCCAGTAACCTCTCTTTCTTCTCTCTTATCTTCCTCATCTTGAGGATTTGTTTTCTGTCACGGTTTATTTTCGTTACTTCTGTTGTCTCCGTTTCCCATACCTTCAGCTCGGCACCAGAGATCATGGCCAGGTTCTGAAATCAGTTGCATGTAATACACTGTAATATACACTGTAATATACACTGTTCATTTGCAATAGTAATCTATCGTATTTATATCTACATAATATAATAAACTAATTTAGGATAGGTGTTACTGCTTGCTGCTTCATGTTTTGTTTAAAAGTTTTTGCTTGACACATCTTTGTATTCTACATGCTGCAATTATTGCAACACATGCAACTATTCTGGGATACATAAAAACTTTGTCAGGTCTTAACACAATCTCTGGAAGACAGTAAACATAAAATATCATTTTCACGGCCAAGAGAGAAGTAATATAATAACAAATTAAATGGGTCACATGATACAGTAAACTAACCAGGTGGTCTTTAAGGAGCATGATAGCTCGGCCACAGAGCCTCCGGAGCAGCGTCAACAACATGCAATCTATCAGCCTTAAAAAGCGCGACAGTTGGTCAATTACACTCTTCCACTGTTGTATGTCTGTATAGGTGGGCAGGTTCACATCTGGGAAATATTACCATAATTAATTAATTAATCAATTAAATGCAATTAAATACAATTAAATACAATTAAATACAATTAAATACAATTAAATACAATTAAATACAATTAAATACAATTAAATACAATTAAATACAATTAAATACAATTAAATACAATTAAATGCAATTAAATACAATTAAATACAATTAAATACAATTAAATACAATTAAATACAATTAAATACAATTAAATACAATTAAATACAATTAAATACAATTAAATACAATTAAATACAATTAAATACAATTAAATACAATTAAATACAATTAAATACAATTAAATACAATTAAATACAATTAAATACAATGATAACAGTGTGACAATACTAGAGGTAAGGAAGTAGTCTAGTAGTTAGTAGTCACGTGACTAACCTCTAAGTTCCTTCTTCCTCTCGTGCTTCTTGTCCTCCAACATAACAATATCCTCGTAGTATTCCTTAGTTCCGAACATCTTCTCCAACAGAGCATGTCTCCCCTCCAGCTCCAGCTTCTCGTCCAGAGCTCGCTTACTCTCTCTAATCAGCTCAGTATACTGACTCTCCATTCCAGCTGCTGCACCCATATCCTGTAATACACATTTATAGGAGGAGCACTCTGGTGACTTACAAGTATCACTAAATTACAAGCTATTATGTGACATATCATTGTTAAATTCAAGTGGAGCTTTACTCACATAACAAACTTTAGAGGCGAGCTCTATATATTATTGTAAAAGTGGAGCTTTACTCACATAACAAACTTTAGAGGCGAGCTCTAGAACGTTAGCCCTGAGTTTGAGTAGATCTTGCTTAGCGGTGTCTATAGCTTGAGCCTGGTGCTGTATGTAGCCGTCCAAGGAGTAGGTGTTATCTATATCTATAGCTATCAGCTTTATCGCATCATTATTATCATACACCCCCTGATATGATATTACACAGTCTGATTATGACTCTGTAACTGTATTTATAATATATGTATATTTTATAATATCACAGTTTGTCAGTTATAATACCATAATACCTTTATAAAGGTATTATGGTATTATAACTGACAAACTCTGATATTATAAATTCACCTATCTGTTGGCCGTTGCGATATCAGTTAAGTAAAGAAGTAATCACGAGCGAGGATGTCAAATGTGGTGTAACTATAAATCATATAGTCACTATAATAAGAGCAATATAACAATAGTACGTACGTTAATAGTGATATTGACAGTATTGTGAGAAGAGTGAGAAGCAGTCTCACAGTAACTCTGTATCCTGAGCAACACAGCTCTCATCACGTGATCAAGGGTAAACAGGCTCCTGTGTAACTTCAGTCCCCTGTTCTCATGACGACGCGAGGAACAGCCACGTGTCCAGTGCTTGAACGCTTTCCACAGTCTGTACAGCGGGTGTTAACTTATTCTACACAGTTTCAAGATGCTATGAAGAATAAGATTAGTTAAACAATCAAAATGATAATCAAGATTACACCACGTGACTCCACACTGCAAGACTAGTGTAAGTAACACTCCCACACCTGAACTGCTGAAAAGTCCTCATTTTAACAATTTTGAAGAAGATAGTCCGTTCTCGTAACCAGGAATCTATTTCTGTGATAGTCGTATCCTCCGCAGAACTAGGAGATACCTTCAGGGGATGTAAATGTTAAAAACTAATAACAGTACAGGTAAAGACTGGTGAAGTCACATGAATATCGGGACTGAGTTACCAGGAAGGAACTAACCATCATAACGTTATCATGAGTAATAGTGTAGAAAATAGCATCGGCAGGAATAACAGCTTTCTTGACCATCCTCAGATCATAAGGGTTGTAATAGCTACACGCATTCCGGCAAACTCCATACACAAAGTCATCTTTACCAATACAGGTTACAACACAGTCATCTGATACATCACGCTTCAGGAGGGATTTCAGGATAATATCATCATTCCTGAACATTATCTCAATTATCAGGGGTTGTAACAATTAACTTGGCAATTAATAAAGGTGTTGTCGCCGTATTGGGGCACCACAGCCATTACACGGAACTAGTGCTCAAGAGGGTCTTCTCCCATCACTACAGTTAACGCGATCATGTCCCCAGACAGTTCGCGTTGTTGAGTCAAGAAAAATCAAAAATATTTTGAACACAAAATCTTGCAATGTTGCTCATTATAAAAATAGTTAACAATATGACATGCCAGATACCTCACTCCGTATTTTGCTGCATTTTTATTCATGGCAGCAAGTCTCTGAGAATGCAGATGATTTAGTTCACCGATCACTTCCTCCCCCCTTTGGTACTTTACAGTCTTTATAAAGTGCATGACATCATCAGGTGGACTGGACGACACGTCAATGTCAGGAACTGGACCTGACGAAGATAAATCATTCAACTGAAAAACATTAAACTTCAATTTGAGAGCTGTCAATATCATACCTTTTTTCCCCTTAATCCAATCAATTACTTGAGATGAGATGAGACCTCAAGTCATTTATTTCGTACATTTCTTCTATATTTCGTTATTGAAATTACTCAAGTTGAGGTATAAATTACATACTTTTAGATTCGATTGAAGGCAACACTTTAGCCTTCTTCTCTATTTCAGGAACAGATGGTAAATTCTTGTTTTCAAACGATTTACGTCGTCTTGAAAGAGCAGGTAATACAACATTCTCCTGTTTAGCTGGGGGTTTCCGTCTTGCAAAAAGAACTGCCTGTGTGGTATGAGTAAATTAAAATAGTTTATTTTAACATTAAACACCAAATCAACGATTACAGCTTTGAAAGATGGCTAATAACAGAGAAGAATGAATAGTTTGACTAGCAAGAGGTTAAATTGAATATGATATAGTAGGGATCTATACTTGTTTTACCTGCTGAGGTATTGGATTTGAAGCACCTCTTTGTACTCGTGGAGAAATTTGTTTTAATTTTCGAACTCTGATTTCCATATGATCTGATTCATTTTGATCTTTTCGCCTCTGCTTGCGGACCTGATGCAGAATTTCTAATTAGGAGGGCAACTATTAAGCACAAAATTTATTCATAGTAAAAATTTAACCGGTCAAAATAATAAGAGAATATAAACATGTGCGATAATTTTATCATTATTATATCTTGAGAGAGAGAGAGAGATCTTGAGGTCCTGCATCTAAGATATGATTTCTCAGTAATCACCTGAATAAGGTTTTGAGCAGAGAGAGGATCATATATGGGGGTTTCTGTTTGTAAGATAGGAGGGGCACTGGCGATTACACTCCTGAAGGACTGATTGTACTCCGAGTTGGATGGAACCACTCCATAACCTTCGTGAAGAGTGTCTGAGTAACCCTCTCCAGCATTGTGCTCATCCATACAACGCTAAAAATAACATATTAATAGTACAACTTTAAAGTATTACAATGTGTGTAAGCCATCTCGATGTGGAGTGATTCAAGCTTTCCAAGAAAATTTATCATTATCTTTACATCCAAAACAAGGGTATCTTTGAACTCAAAAGGGTAAGAACTTTTTGGCCCACATTAAATATATCTTCTCACCAACAGCCACGATAGATATTCTCCCAGCAATGGCGCTTATACATAAGGGGACAGATATTGGTAAAGACAGATACATGTTGTAGACTATAGTTCCATTTCTGAATGGGTATTCATTAGGAATTATATTTTATCTTGGGTTTGTTTTTTAGGCAGCTAGTGAAAACTTAATGTTTTGTTACAGAAAATCACAGTTTCTAAATTGAGGGCGCTCTAAATCGGAGTTTTACTGTAGTTGCTTCTGATAGAAGAGGTGAGCAGCTGTTTTTAGTCCTATGGAAAAACATTATTCTTAGCCCAAGTTATTGCTAGTCAAAAGGTCAGCGCATATGTGTAATGGTATCGGTAAGGTGATGGTATCAGTGAAGTGATCGAGGAATCCCCCTGAACTTTCAGGATATGCTCTAGTATAATAGGGATCATTTAGAAGAAGTTCTCAGGCATGCTGGAATTAAGTCTATTGAAACTTTCATCGGTTCGGCTAGACTAAGGTGGTAAGGACACATTGTCAGAATGCCAGAGACACGGTTTCCCAATTTTTTACTGGATTGGAAACCAAACTATGGAAAGAGACTGAGAGGATGACCACCAAAGGCTGTGTACTCAAGGATGCGGCTGACTTTACAGGTGTCGATAACATCAGCAGAGATGCAGTAAAACAGTTAGCTCTAAAATGAGTGGAATGGAGGAACCTGGAACATGTTACACTGTAGAAGAGGTGTGTGTGATGCAGGCCACTCCCATGGCTAGGAGGAGACCTCTTCATGTAGCATTTATGTATGTATAGGGATCATTTAGAAGAGATTCTTCGGCCAGAATTTATTTTAAATTGTTCGATTTTGAAAATGTTGGTCCTCTAATAATTATCAAAAACGAGGTTGTACTGCTGAGAGCAAAGTCGAGACTCTTTTCTTTTGTTTGGTGGTCCAGTGTCACTCGAAACTCGCCTGAGCAATCAATTCCAGAGGGTGAACTAAGGACTTCTATGTAATCATATCTCCTCGCCCAAAAATCCGTGATTGAGGGTGAAATAAAGAATGAGGGTACCCTGCAGGTCACTTTTATTTAGACAATTTAGCACTATAAAAATGTGCTTCTTCAAATTATCTATCATTCTCATTGTATTGCTGTGTAAATTTAATTTTAATTATAATGCTAATTAATTTTAACATTTAAAGGGAATATTTATTTTATAGTTGTAGGTTTATAACCGACCAGGTACCCTGCAGGTCACTTTTATTTAGACAATTGATTCACGATGTCAATCCTTCGCAGCTCGGTGAGGCACAGTGGTGCATCTCGCCGATCTACCGAAGTAGGTTGCGAGAAGTTGGTTGCGAGAAGAATTATTTGATGCGCGGCGCGACCCAGTAGTGCATCGCGCTACAATTTAGACAATAGCACTATAAAAATATGCTCCTTCAAATTATTTATCATTCTCATTGTATTGCTGTGTAAATTTAATTTTAATTATAATTCTAATTAATTTTAAAGTGAATCTTTATTTTATAGTTGTAGGTTTATAACTGACCAGGACGCGCGCCGAGTTGGACTCAAATATTTTACGAGTATCATTCGTTAATTTTATAAGCAAAATAATCGATGAACTAAAAAGCTTTTAAGTTTTTTGATTAATCTTCGAAGTCCATTTCAAGGTCGGCTTGCATTTAATCTTACTTTGGAATTATTGTTGAATTGCGTACATATTTATTATCTCCTTAACGGGTGATACTCGTAAAATATCTGTTCCATATATTGGACCGTCGACGAGTCCAACTCGGCGCGCGTCCTGGTAGGTTGTAAACCTACAACTTCATGAATCGAGATCAAATCTTTTGCATTGTATTGAAAATCAATTTATGCACTTATATAGATTATTTAAATACTTTTAAAAGAGAACAACAAACTAAAAACCCTTATTGTCTTATTTCTCCGTAAAAAGCACAATATCGTAAATATAATATAATTTTGTTGTTAAATTGCCTATAAAGTGATTTTAAACAAATGATAAAGTCCACATTTAATTTAATCAACTTAGTTCAGAATCAAGCAATTCAAACTACTATATTATTTTATGTGTATTAAATTAAATGTGCTTTCGGTGGAGATATTATAGCGCACGCCTTACTTTTGACGGATGATGTTGTTGAATGTTTCAAAATATTGACCTACCGCAGGCCGGGAATAACAATTTTTTCATATAGCGTATTTGGTTTGTCGTCCATTAATTAACAATGCAATAGCCGACAAATAGAGATTAGGCGGAATGACAGGCTGAGCGCGGCCCAGTAAGACTCACGATGTTAATCCTTCACAGCTCGGCGAGCTCGAGGCCCAGTGCAGTGCATTTCACCGATCTAGCGAATAGAAATGGTTGATTCACAATGTCATTTATACTGGACGGCGCTCCGCCTGTCATTCCGCCGAATCTCTATTCGTAGACACGATACATCCACTTATATTATAGTGAAACGAAAACGGGGGTCACGACGTGATACAATACATTACTTGATCATGTGTAATTAAGTTATGCAATGGTTGATATTTGATTATACTGGACGGTGCTAGCCCATCATTCTGCCATATATCTTCGATTGTGTGCTTATAAAAACTTGTTAAGCCACCATCTAAGTTATTCGAAAGCCCATGGAACTTAAAAATTATGTTTTCTTCAGCTCCAGTGATTGAGCATGACAACTTAAAACCTTAAAACCTATATCGTGTAGTTATTGACTACTTGCATGGGAGTATCCCTAAGTTAAGATTATATATGATGCTGAGTGCAGAAAAACACTGTTCATTGCTGACATGAAGTGATAACAATAATAGTTTGAATAATATAATTTATATATATCTATTGTTATTTCATAACAATTAGTTTTAGTCAGATGTAAAAAGGCAAGTGAAAATTATGCTCAAAAGAATGAGTTCCGAAAAATGTACACACTTTCTTCAATCGATATTTTAATTCAGATTAACAAAAAGAATATAGAACACAATCACAATTATGCCTTAAAAATAATACAAACATGGGCGACATTTAAGAAATTGTTTTAAGATAGGGAGGCAATGAGGCTGGTGTAGTATGCTTGGTCCTCATACAAAATATCTTAACTTTCTGACTTCCACTCTCTTGTACTGGTAGGGTGCTTCCAGCAAGTTCTGGGATAATCAGTTATTTAATAAATATAGCTTACATTAAGTAAAGTAAAGTATATATAAAGGGGTATACAGCAGGGGGAATGCTGAAAGTTGCAGTATTATACCCAGCGCTATTTCAGTCATTTCAAGGTTCGACCAAGAATTTGTCCCTATCTATTCCATTGGAGATTATGTCATTATAACACTGATAAATAATTCCTATAAATCACACTAATGCAATGTTTAGAGTTCAAAATCTCTGACCGTATATGTGGCCAAGCTCTTTCCAGCTAAAGAAAATTATTTTGAACTGTTCTGAACAGTTTCATTTATATCTGAAAGAGCAGTTTCCCTTTGTTGCATATGGAATTATCAGAAATTTCGATCTTTAAACATCACAACCAAGCGACTCATAAATAATATTCCTATCCGGATATTACACTAATACAATACATGAAAAAAATATGAAAGACACAAAAATCTATCTGCCAACAGATGAAATATGGGTAAAATGAGGTAAAACAGTCTTCATAATAGGTGTATCATGTGGGTATTAAGCAATCAATCCAATTTGTTGTGGTAAGGATCACCCACCTGCCAACAATCCCTTTAGTGTTTTTATCAGCTCGCTTTTACATTAGTAATAGTTATGGATGGATGTTTTTAGTAACAGAAGCTTTAAAAAATGTGTTAATCGTCTTCAGCTAGGGGCGAGGAGGTGATTATATTATGTTGTTCCAAGAGATGGAGTGTCGAGTTTATCTAAAGTATGATGTGCTATGGCAGATTGATCATGGTTTTGTTGTCGATGGTGTTGTTGTGTCTGTTGTTCTTTCATTCTGTCAATCAGGGATCTGTAGGGGTACTATGAGTAAGGAGATCTCCTTGAGTGTTGAGTGGGTCAATTTGATGTCGTGTTGTCCGAGTATCGCAGAGATGGGTTTGGAGAGGGAGGGAAGGAAGGGGAGGGAAACACTTGGGTTTGTTGGTTCAATACTGGTTAAGTACTGTTGTCAGGGAGGGTGGGGGAGTTTCAGTTGAACTTCTTCCTAAGTTTTATTTTTGCTCACAGTCCGACACAGCAAATGTTCAAGAAAACTGTAAGATGCCTAGCGTGACTGCGTGTAGCCTAGTATGTAGTGTAGTACGAATAGTCATTAGTCAATTGATTGTAACAAAATTTATTAAATTTTATTCTTAGCCTCCTGGTTACAATATTTTATTTCAAAATTCAAATAAACTTTACATCAATGTATTACATTTATATTTAGAAAAGACCACAATATCTCCTGCACTGTGAGGCAAAAACATGGAAAATGAGAGCTAGAAAAATATTCTTGAGACTCAACACTACCGGACCGCATCTGGAGTGAGAAACATTATGTAAACATCATAGTAAAATTTATTTCGGCTGAACCAAAACACGGTGGTAAAACCATAATTACATTGGTGCCGACCCTACATAAAATACATAATTTGAATCATCAATAAATATTCAAGAGAAATTAAAATGTATACGATACCTTCTTGCTACTACTCCACAGACTTACACGACATATCAACAAAACAATATAATTATAGAGTAAGTATCATAGCAAGCATCATAATTTTATGATACAATCTTACCACTAAAATTCTGTTTGTACATTGAAGTAATGAAATAACATTTGTTATAGGAACGATGGCGAAGAAACGTGCTGGTAAGTCAGGTACTTAAAATCATTTCTTTTTGTATTTTCCTTCGAAAATTTATTTCAAAATTGTAACACTAGATAGAAACAATTGGCAATGTAACTTATAAAAAGGCATAACGTCATATGAACCAATGTTGCTTGTTGTTGTTATAGAGTTAAGGCATTACGAATAACTTCCTTGTAATTTCAATTTTTATAGATATGTAACTTTTATTATAGATAACATGTTCCAGGTTATTATTACCAATTCCACCATGGACTCCAAAAGTCTATGAGAGTATGAGTAATTTACCTAAATATTATTTTAACGATTTTGATCGAATCGAAATTTTGGACAAGGTCAACAGAAATTAAATAAGAATTGTGACACGAACAAAATCTTATCTTACATTCTATCATAGTGCATAATGCATATTACATAATAACAACTGACGCTTTTTATTTCAGTTTTATTTCAGAAAATATCATAAGATGAATTATTACCTGTTTTCCACTTAAATACAGACTATCAGCTTTATGAAACGTATCGTTTAATATCAAAATGTGAAAAGGAAACGTATCGTTTAATATCAAAATGTGAAAAGGCAAAAGCTAAAGTTCGTGTGAAAAGCAAAAGCAAAAGCAAAATTACAATTTAATTAATCATAACTTTAACCTTGATCAGTTCACGTGTTATGCTCTACCCTCAGAAAACAACTGACTGAAAATATTACAATGAAAATCATCTGACAAAACATGAATTGAAAAAAGCACATATGACTGCATATAACGAGCTCCATAATATTGTAACCAGTATCTAAGGCAGTGGTTCTCTTAGCAAGCACTCCGAGCTTGTTATTGTTTAAACAAGCAAGCTTACTGGACCGCGATATTCCTCCTCAATCTACACTCTCTCTAGACTGTAGGGAAGTGAGCCATGAAGTAGGCTCCATTATTTAACACAGCACCTTAAAGCACCTCCACTTCCGTGAAATTTTCATCAATTGCAGCTGGGGAGTTTTCTCCTTTGATAAAGTAGATTAGAAGAGGTGGCTGTTAAATTAATTGTTTCATGTCATGCTGAGAGCAGGAGTGCATGCTTACCAATCTCACTTATTAACTCTCCTCTTGTGTATCGTTGCAGTTATTTCGTTGTAATCGCTCGTAGCTAATCATGTCCGGTGAGTGCACTTATCAATTCATGTTTTCAATAGGAACCCAACTAAAATCCATACAACCTACTTTGTTCTGGACTTTGGTTTGATTTTAGGTCTTGTCCATGGTTTAGTCAGGCTTATGTCGCCCCATGCTCTGGATAAGGATGGTCCTATTTTTCATAGTAGGAAAATAACCCTGATATTTGTCTCATTAAACTGCAGCTCTGCAGTAATACTAACAATGTGAGGAGTTGCTGACTAACGCAGCTAGCTGTCTTTGATTTTAGTATTGCTAGAGATCAGGTCTATAGGGTGTGCACTGTGCAGAGCTGTATTTAGCAGAGTTAGTGGTGTTAGTAAGTATCATTGGTAAAGGGTTGTTGTGTCTGAGTGTCGTGTCTGGTTGATGAGCTGCTCGTCTAGACAGGAGAGCAGATCCTGGTATAACTGGTTGTAGTTAGCTCCGTAATACTCCGTGTAGTTCATCTCCTTGTGGTACTTTAACCTGGGGTACAGCTCAGTCATGGTGACGTAATAGTGACGTAATAGTGATGTAATAGTGACGTAATGATGACGCAATAGTGACGCAATAGTGATGTAATAGTGACGTAATAATGACGTAATAATGACGTCAGACGTGGTTAGCTAAAGTCAGGGAATATAAAGAAATAGTATCTGACCTGCCGTACTCGGATAGAATCTTGAGAGAGTATGTATCCAGCTGATTAGTGAGCTCGAGTACCTTGTTCCGGGGTTGGAGGTTCCTTGCAGTACAGTAGTCTTCAAAACATTCTATCCACAAGGAAATACTGTTGCCAGCTCGGAACGGTTTAGGCTTGGTTATCTGAAATATCAGTAGTCAATAACAGGGTTATTGTAATATATCAGTAGTCAATAACAGGGTTATTGTAATATATCAGTAGTCAATAACAGGGTTATTGTAATATATCAACTCAATACCATGGTTAAATGCAGCCTAGAATTGGAACAGTGGCTGTAGGATAACTAAATGAGTGTTCACATGACAGGTTTCCTTGCTTCTCATTGGTTAGAATTCTCACTTACAGGTCTATTAGAGCCGGAAGGTATCTTGCTGCTGTTGTTTACATGTATCTCAAACAAAGACAACCTAGGAAGTTGACTTTGCATTTCCTGAATTATTGACATTCTCCTGTTCAAGTTCCTCCCTCCTGTAGACCCTCCTGTAGACCCTCCTGTAGACCCTGCTGTCATCTCCCCAGAGTCCGAACTAGCCGACCTTTTTACACAGTCTCTCCGTGTGAACAGTCCCATTCTACTCAATTAGTAGTAATTACCTAATTAGCAGTAATTACTTAATTAGTAGTAATTACTCAATTAGTAGTATTCTTAGTGTTAAGTTATTGATAAGTTATACTAGTAATGTATTTAACACTACCGCGCATAGACTGTCTAAATAAAAAGGAAACAAAATAAAACAAACAAGCAAAACAGCAGAGACTATGTAAAATACGTTATCACTAACAAAGACTACAGACGGTATAGTAGTATATGGTAGTATTGTACAATGACTTCCTCCAAGTTCAGGGTTAGTTTAATAACAATATGCAATCCCTCTATTGTCCCTATCTCATGTGGGACAATAGAGGGACACTGTGTTTATAACAATAGAGTACACACTTAGTGAGCAATCACACATCACACACTTAGTGAGCAATCAAACATCACACACTTAGTGAGCAATCACACATCACACGCTTAGTGAGCAATCACACATCACACACTTAGTGAGCAATCACACATCACACACTTAGTGAGCAATCACACTTAGTGAGCAATCACACATCACACACTTAGTGAGCAATCACACATCACACACTTAGTGAGCAATCAAACATCACACACTTAGTGAGCAATCACACATCACACACTTAGTGAGCAATCACACATCACACACTTAGTGAGCAATCACACATCACACACTTAGTGAGCAATCAAACATCACACACTTAGTGAGCAATCACACATCACACGCTTAGTGAGCAATCAAACATCACACGCTTAGTGAGCAATCACACATCACACACTTAGTGAGCAATCACACATCACACACTTAGTGAGCAATCACACATCACACGCTTAGTGAGCAATCACACATCACACACTTAGTGAGCAATCACACATCACACCTTGAACACCTCAATAGTAAATGTACTGATCGGCACCTGTACTTCCCGGCCTCGCAAATACGCAACAAAATGGTGCATCAAACTTAACGACCACTCTCACTCTCACTCACTCACATAATCACTCTCACTCTCACTCACTCACATAATCACACTCACTCACACTCACTCACACTCACTCACACTCACTCACACTCACTCACACTCACACTCACTCACACTCACTCACTCACTCACACTCACTCACTCACTCACTCACACTCACTCACACTCACTCACACTCACTCACACTCACTCACACTCACTCACACTCACTCACACTCACTCACACTCACTCACACTCACTCACACTCACTCACACTCACTCACACTCACTCACACTCACACTCACTCACACTCACTCACACTCACTCACACTCACTCACACTCACTCACACTCACTCACTCACACTCACTCACACTCACTCACACTCACTCACTCACACTCACTCACACTCACTCACTCACTCACTCACTCACTAACACTCACTCACACTCACTCACTCACACTCACTCACTCACACTCACTCACACTCACTCACACTCACTCACACTCACTCACACTCACTCACACTCACTCACACTCACTCACACTCACTCACACTCACTCACACTCACTCACACTCACTCACACTCACTCACACTCACTCACTCACACTCACTCACACTCACTCACTCACACTCACTCACACTCACTCACACTCACTCACTCACTCACTCACTCACACTCACTCACTACACTCACTCACACTCACTCACACTCACACACACTCACTCACACATAATCACACACACTCACACTCACGTACCAGTAGCTCACTTGTAAAGATGAAGCACGACAATGACAACAGTCGCCTCAAGGTGGAGATACTGAGCACTGTGATGATATTAGCTGCGCCACGCACCACAGCACTCGTGCTATCTAATCCAATATTACTGGTATAGTAGTTCTGACCTCTACTATCACGAGCTAACAATATACTGCAACTTATCATAACATTAGAGATACCTGCCGCTAAAGAAAGCAGAGCAATGAACTATGATTATAGGGTTACGTGGTTATGTGTGCTTTTAGGGAGTATGTATATATTATAAAGGAGCAAAGCCTGCTGTTAATTATACTGTACAATGTGGTGGTCACCTGATTGCAAATCATGATATTGGAGCAAATTTTGTCATACTACATACTACATACTACATACTACATACTACATACTACATACTACATACTACATACTACATACTACATACTACATACTACATACTACATACTACATACTACATACTACATACTACATACTACATACTACATACTACATACTACATACTACATACTACATACTACATACTACATACTACATACTACATACTACATACTACATACTACATACTACATACTACATACTACATACTGCATACTACATACTACATACTACATACTACATACTACATACTACATACTACATACTACATCCTACATACTACATACTACATACTACATACTACATACCACAACAAATGTAATATGTTACTGAAAAAATGTGTATTTTGTCTGGTGGAGCGCAAAACGGCTCGGAAAATAATGAAAAGTACAAACTAGGAACACTTAAATAGCATGACGAATAATAATAAGTTAGGGTATATCGTTATCTTATGATGACGTTTTTGCTGACGTCAGCAACTAGTTTGTCGGCTTTTGCTTTGGTCTAATCATAGAATTACATCAGACTTTAATTGTGGAAATATAAAAGCAAATCCAAAATGCCGACACTTTTGGGTATGATTTAAAAAGGTAAATAAGCTCATGTGTTAACTACAATAGTATCATGATAAAACCGGTTTATCAGTTATTTAGAATATATATTCGCATTTATCCACACTCTATTTACATTACACGTACAACGTGATATCGTTATCAGTGCAGTGTGTACAACACCAACTACACCGATCAATTGCCAATCTGCGAAACATTTTTTAATTATTATTATCACTTCGAGATGGCCAGGCCTACTCTCATGCTGTCTATATGTGATGATTAACTCTGAAAAACTAGGGACAACTGGGGAATGATCCCAGAACCTCGAGATTTCGCGTCTCTTGCTCTACCAATTGAGCTACTGACCCTGATTCTCAGAGCGAAATCACCACTCATATACAGCACAATTTCATGCTTTGTGTGGAATATCATTTATCAGTTATTTAGAATATATATTCGCATTTATCCACACTCTATTTACATTACACGTACAACGTGATATCGTTATCAGTGCAGTGTGTACAACACCAACTACACCGATCAATTGCCAATCTGCGAAACATTTTTAATTATTATTATCACTTCGAGATGGCCAGGCCTACTCTCATGCTGTCTATATGTGATGATTAACTCTGAAAAACTAGGGACAACTGGGGAATGATCCCAGAACCTCGAGATTTCGCGTCTCTTGCTCTACCAATTGAGCTACTGACCCTGATTCTCAGAGCGAAATCACCACTCATATACAGCACAATTTCATGCTTTGTGTGGAATATCATTTATCAGTTATTTAGAATATATATTCGCATTTATCCACACTCTATTTACATTACACGTACAACGTGATATCGTTATCAGTGCAGTGTGTACAACACCAACTACACCGATCAATTGCCAATCTGCGAAACATTTTTAATTATTATTATCACTTCGAGATGGCCAGGCCTACTCTCATGCTGTCTATATGTGATGATTAACTCTGAAAAACTAGGGACAACTGGGGAATGATAAAACCGGTATTAAATAAGTATAATGACAATGTACAGGGAAAAAGGGAAAAGGAAAGAACACGAAGCACATGACGGAGGAAGAACGGGTTCATTTCTACGAAACTCAGTTGCTTGCAGAGGAAGAGAATAGGAAGAAGAAGGAAGAACTTCTAACACAGTTCCTGAAAGACAAGCTGGCAAAAGAAGAAAAGGCAAATGAGTTCAATAAGCTGAAACTACAGAACCAATGGCGGGCAATAATGAGGGAGGGTAAGTCACGTGAGAGTGATCTTATTGTGGTGATCAGATAAACTTAGAGAACACGCCTAATTGAAGGATTGTATATGTCGCCATGGTACATGCCTGGTACTTTGTGTACATAAACCGGCTTAATTTCAGCTAGCATTCTTTTCATGATGAATACAATGATCGTTCAAATGATCTTAATTAATTGGCTCTTTGAAGAAATACAATATACTGACCATTATCCCATGAATTTTAATTAGTCAACTTAATGAATTTGATTTAACCTGTACATGTGCCTGTAAAATTCTATTATTTTTCTTATTTTTCTTATTTTTCTTATTTTCTCACGTGCAAATTACAGCTAAGGCGACAGAGTTGTGTAAAGATATAGAGATTTTATCCCAAACATTTGAGCGGATAGTTGATAGAAAGGACGCTATCATAAAGTCCCTGTCTCAAGATCTAGCTGAGGCTGAGGAGCAGTATCAGTTAGCACTGAGGTTTGTTACCATTGTTATTCCTCAGTGTTTTGACCCCATCTCTTGAATGTTATTATCAGTACTCCTTGGTCACATTATATTATTGATTCTCCGTATTTTCTAAGAACAATACCTCTCTTCATAGCGAGATCTGATTTCCATGATACCTCAGGTCACATCTACAGAACATAGACCAGCTAGTAGATAACCAAGGGTCGCGCATCGCCTCCCTCCACAGAGAGTACTCTGAAGAGCTAGAGCAGCTGAAACATGAATACAGCACAGAGCGGGAGAAGATGATAAAGTCCCACCAGTTTGAGTGTAATGATCTGCAAGATATCATGTTCGCTATGGAACAGGAGTTTAACGAGCTCAAGACGGAGGCTCTTCATGACTTCCAGAGTCAGAAAGATGAAATAAAGAACAAGGTAAGTCAGTAGTCAGCTCAGTATATAATATATAGGCTGCGTTTTCAGCAAGCCTTAGTTAGGATAAGTTGGCATTGTCGCCGCAATGGGTTCAGAATCTGGCTGGTCACGTTTTAAAATTGTCACATCATGTCTTCCATAAGATTGAAAAATTTGAGAAGCTATTGTGAGATCAATGTATAAATGGTTGCAACAATCTGTACCCCAATTATTCGCCTTTGAGAAGGTGGTCATATGAACAATTGGAATGTGCTTAGGTGACTTTCGTAACAACCTCCTGGCTTTCGTTATTTGTGAACGATACCCTATTATTGAAAGTCCACAAAACAGACTCAGTATGGGACGGAATGGTGCGGTTTTTGGCTATCAAACTTTTTATGCAACGAAAGTATGGATTATCCGCCTGAAAGTTGTATCTAACTATACTCATAGTCGCGTAGTTCGTACTTTCTTTTTGTTGCGACTAAGTAGTAAATCTCCTTATTATCTTTTAGAAAAGAAACTCAGCAATCAGTTCTTGAGTTATTTTACATAATAACTGAACATTCGGTGGATGTTTGTGTACGTCATTCAAATCATTACAGATACACTGGATTCCGCTGTCTTTTAACAATATCACGTGGTATTTGGTCGCATGCACGTTGTATGAAACGTAAGGCGCTTTAAAACATTTTACAGATATGATAGCGCAAAATTCACTACTAGGCGCGCGTCGCCTAGCAACCATGTCAATTTTAACATTTGAACCTAAACAAAATTGCTAAAATTAGGAACTGAAGCAGGACTTTACAACTTTGAAGTTTGAACTTTAAAGACGGAAAGACTCTAAAATCTACGGAAGCTTAAAATGAATTCCATAAAATGAAAAGTGTAATGTTTTCATTATTGACCTTTGAGGCTAACCGCTGAATGTTGTTCCCAGTATTGGTTTGCTGCTTATCGAGGGAATAAGTAAATAGAAAATATAATAGTGAAAACACAAATAAAATTAAAATTTATGGTGTAATTAATAATTATGACGTAATTATTATGTAACTAAAGCAAATCGTATGATCTGCTGGATTGTAAGGAACTTAGTTATTAGAGAAAAGGTTGTAATGATAGCTATTTATAAAGCTTTGATAAGACCTCATCTTGAGTATTGTGTCCAATTGTGGAATCCAGTTGCGGCTCATGGAAGTTGGGGGACTGTTTTGGAGCTGGAGAGCGTCCAGAGGCGGTTTGCCCGTCTTATTGATGAGGTGGGTACTCTTCCATACAGCTGCAGACTGGATATCATCAATTTGACAACGCTGGCAGATCGGCGAATACGTGGGGACCTTATCGAAGCTTTTAAAGTAACTAGTGGTTTGACTGAATATGGATCGGGTTTGTTCAGAATGAGCAGATCTGGTCTTAATCTAGTTTCAACCAATAGGTGTAATAAGAGTGTAACCAAAGTTAAGAATCTCCAGTCTTCTTTTCTTCCGGAGCGAGTCATTCCTTACTGGAACAAACTCCCTTCAGATGTCAAGAACTGCTCGACAGTTTTAAGCTTTAAAGTTAGATTGGAAGGATTTAAGAGAGAAATGATTTCTAAAAACAGTGTAAATGATTTTTGTTTTTGGAATGTTTCGAATGAAGTTTTAGGGAAAATTGAAGGACCCAGTTATTTAAGCAATAAGGAGACACATAATGAATATCTTTGGTTTCATCCTTTTTATTTGTGGCAAAGAAGCGTTTTATAAATCTTTATTCCACTGGGAAGTATTAATGAATTATTTATAGATAATGTATTAGATTTTATTAATTAATAAAATTGAATTTGATAAATTATTAATGTTGATGGAAAAATATATTTATTTAAATTATTTTTTTATTTAGTGCAATGATATTTTGTAGACACTTGTGATGATGTTATGTCATAATCTTTACTTACTTACTTACTTACTTAACATGTATAACCTAAAGTCTCAAAAGTGGGAGGCTTGTGAAAAAATTGATAATAATGCTACATAAGAAGTAAGAACAGCAATGAGTATGACTGATGCCAATGTTTGCTATAAAGTTTAGGCTCATATAGGCCGATTAAAAGTCAAGCATATTATAAGGTAGAGTCTCATGAAATTATTATTATTAGATATAAGTGAATCGTATCTTGTGTGAATCGTATCTTGTGTGCTATTGTCAGCTATTCCTTTGATAAATTTGTTGTGATGATTTCAGACGGCCGAATAAAAGAGATATGGAACATTTACTGACGAAATGCTTGTCCCTTGAAGACATTTATCAGAACCTTGCACTAATAAACTATCAAATTTCGCAAGTCCTTCAATTCAAAAGAGAAACAAAAAGTAAAATTGCTGTACTATACTCATTGAAATGTAGCTTAGCACAAGCAGAGCATTTGTTAGAGACACTGTGAAACGTTAACAAACTCAACAAAGAACAAAAAGAACACACGTACTTATCTAAATCTGGTGTTCAGGGCGGAAACTAATCCCACCGTTTATAAAATATCAATAGAAACCATTTGTATACTTGAAACTTGGAACACTCAGGGAAATGTATTACTAACACCAAATATTTACAGAATCTTGAAGAGAAACATGCGCTGAGAATGCAACTAGAGGGAGCTGTAGAAGAGCTTTGGAGACAATTCCAAGAGGTATGAATATTAGTTCATTGGCAAGAGCACAAGAATTTCTAGAATACCACACATTAGTCTAGCTTATTACAGTTACAACATAAGCTATAGAAACCATTGTTATTGTGATAACGTAAATACCTTTTATACAATGGTTATAAGTCTAGCTCGCAATATTCAGATCCAAGCAAATGTATAGTAAAACCCTGATTTAGTAAGAATAATGGAGCATACCGGGATTTTCATTGCATTTGGGAGAAGACAATGGTCGCTGCTCAGTTCCCACTCAGTAGAAATAAACGTCATCTCAATTTGTAACTTTGTACAGCTAAAAATAAACAATAAGGGGGATAGTAAAAAGCGCTAACATGAACCCTCCAGGCTCTGAAACAATACAATAGTACGACCGAGGACAGAAAGAAACATTTTGAGGAGCTGAAAGCTAAGGACATGAAGAGTGCACAGGAGATAGAGTTGCAGATGAGGAAGCTCCAGAAAATACATGTAATTATTTCTACCCCTACGCACTTTCATATTAGATTTACTGAAATAAACAGATCAGACTTTAAAGTTACAGGATATCTAGCCTGCTGCAGTGAAAATGCCCAAGAAATCACGTTTAATCGTTTAATTGGAGAATATAATCGTACATTCTTTGTATGGATTTATTTTAGAATTTTCAGTACAATGTATAAGTTACTTTAACGTTATGATTTGTCGGTGAATTATCCAGAGCAATTCTAAAGGTCTCCTTAAAACATAGGCCAATTAAAATAAAAGCCGATCTTAGATTGCAACTTTCCGCGGAAAATTATTATTTACTGTTTAAATGTTATACACTTATTAACTAATCAGGACAGCATAAACCAGCAAAAAGCCAAGATGGCATGTAACGCCAGAGACTGTGAGGAGCGGAATAAAATGCTAAAGGACGAGAAAGAGTCTATTTTAGTACACTTCTCTCAACTCAAAGGACAAATGAATAAATTCAGAGAAAACCAAAGGTTTGTCTGCCTTTAGCTTTGGATTTTCATTTAGCATCCGTCTGTGACGAGAACAAAGTAAGAACAAAGTAAGAACTTTTGCTCCTACTCTCGGTAATATCCTTATCTGGTTCTGAAACATGGATTTGTGAATAACAAACACACCTTGTGTCCTCGTGGCGGCACACCAGTGGTGCACGCCGCCGCCAGTGGTACACGCCGCCACCAGTGGTGCACGCCGCCGCCAAACACACTTCGCCTGCAAATCCCTGCTTATCGTTATAACACCACAATATATATGTACTAGCGAAAATTTGCACAAATGTAAGTGAAGACGACAAATGATAATTATAGAATTACAATATAAGTAGACGGGGTTTTAAAGAATTAATGATGATGATAATATTGGGTAGCCTCACAATAACCACTGTTACTTTATTAGACTAGTGGGGCGTCAGTTTAACCTGCATTTGTAAAGAAAGCTCAGCAACACAAAGAACCTTTACTTCATAGGAAGGGGGCCCTATGGGGGGGGGGGGGTGAGGGCCTATTGTGGGGGGCCGGGGGGTCAAGGGGGCTCTATTGTGGGGGGAGGGGCTTATTGTGGGGGGGGGGGTTTGGCTATTTTGGGGGGGGGGGGGGGGGGGGGGGGGGGGGGGGGGGGGGGGGGGGGGGGGGGGGGGGGGGGGGGGGGGGGGGGGTTGGGCTATTGTGGGGGGGGGGGTCCCTGAGTTAACTTATCATTACAGCCAATGAAACTAACCAAACGTTCTGTTTAAGGTCGAAGCTGACAGCCTTGACCGTGTTAAGCAGTAAGACCATCAAAGAGTTAAAAGACAAACATCAAAAGGTAAATATCTTGTATTCTAGATTTAGTTTGCTATTTACTGTGAAAAGAACTGAACTTCACCCTTTATAACCTACTTTCATCCCATTTCAATTTATTATTATTGTCAGAAGATTTTGTTGTCTTTTAAGAGACCCCTCCCCACAGTATTCCGTCAATGTCTCGGTTATTAATTGGGCTATTTAACAGTGTTATCTTGCTCCTTGTCATAGCAGTTAAACTGCGGGAAACGTCAATTGTCATACCAATTTTATTTATTATGAACAATTTCATTAATTTATTATTGATCGAGTTTTATGACAGTAATTGCCACCAAAGTCTTGTAACTTTAATGTCAGAAGCATCCCTACCCAACATTGACAAAATTATATTGTCAAATAAAATTTTGATAGTTAAGTAGCACAAGTGATGTAATGTCTGCAGTTTAATCTGATAAACTTGTGGCAGCATCCAACATCATGCATCTTGTCAAATAATGTTGTGGCATTATTTGTCTTCATATAAAAATTCGAATTAAACAACTAGCAAACCATTGTGCAAACCTTCGCTTGGATAATGATAGTCTGGATTTGATTTGGTGACTGGTATTATGAATACTGTACCTACCTATTCCACTTTGCCTTCAAAAATAGGCTTCCATATTCTGAAGCACGTACTTACTTATGCTCCTTCATAAATACCACGAAAGAGCATTAAAAACTTCCCCTCTGCTCCTTTGTAAATACTAGTGCAGACCTCTATTATCGAATGTCGTAGCCGAAGTAAGCAGTAAGGAACTTAATGAAGTGAAACAACCAAGCTATACACGTAAAATAGTGAAAATGTGCAAGTTCGAACAAACTCCATGTTCAATATATTCTCTCTCTCTTCTTCTCGCTGTTTCGTCTCCTCTCCCCTTAACCATCTCGGAAAGTAATGGTCCGAATTCCTACAAATTTCACCTCAGAGTTTCTTCTAGCATTGTACAAAGGCATGCCAAGTTTGAAGTCTCCTGTTCATTTAGTTTGTTTTTTATCAGCTGAAGACTCTGAAAGTTACATAACATTTGCACAATTAATCTTTCCTGCCATCTCTGATATTATATATTATATGTATCTGATTAGGTGTCACATCGTCTGATAATAAATTGAATATCATACCGAGCAATATTAGTGTTCAGTATTATGGTGAGGTTATTCCTCGCATCAAATAGTGACAACAACAGTCTACACAGATTTGATGTGAATTAATTGTGATGGTAGATACAGTGACAATAGTTATAAATTAGTCTGTATTCCAGGGAGAATGTATCCTGTCCTCTAAATAACACTGTATTCCAGGGAGAGTGTATCCTGTCCTCTAAATAACACTACATTCCAGGGAGAGTGTATCATGTCCTCTAAATAACACTGTATTCCAGGGAGAGTGTATCCTGTCCTCTAAATAACACTGTATTCCAAGGAGAGTGTATCCTGTCCTCTAAATAACACTGTATTCCAGGGAGAGTGTATCCTGTCCTCTAAATAACACTGTATTCCAGGGAGAGTGTATCCTGTCCTCTAAATAACACTGTGTTCCAGGGAGAGTGTATCCTCAAGTTGGCGGAGATGTGTCGTAAGTTGGAGACGGAGGAGGAGAAGGTGCTACCTTTCTACGCCAGCACACTAACCGAGCAGGAGGAGAAAGAGATCGAGGCTATGGTTCAGCAGGAACCTGAAAACGACCTTGCTAATGTGAGTGTAGTGGTGTAGTGGTGTAGTGGTGTAGTGGTGTAGTGGTGTAGTGGTGTAGTGGTGCAGTGGTGTAGTGGTGTAGTGGTGTAGTGGTGTAGTGGTGTAGTGGTGTAGTGGTGTAGTGGTGTAGTGGTGTAGTGGTGTAGTGGTGAAGTGGTGTAGTGGTGTAGTGGTGTAGTGGTGTAGTGGTATAGTGGTATAGTGGTGTAGTGGTGTAGTGGTGTAGTGGTGTAGTGGTGTAGTGGTGTAGTGGTGTAGTGGTGTAGCGGTGTAGCGGTGTAGCGGTGTAGTGGTGTAGTGGTGTAGTGGTGTAGTGGTGTAGTGGTGTAGTGGTGTAGTGGTGTAGTGGTGTAGTGGTGGTGTGGTGGTGTGGTGGTGTGGTGGTGTGGTGGTGTGGTGGTGTGGTGGTGTGGTGGTGTAGTGGTGTAGTGGTGTAGTGGTGTAGTGGTGCGGTGGTGTGGTGGTGTGGTGGTGTGGTGGTGTGGTGGTGTGGTGGTGTGGTGGTGTGGTGGTGTGGTGGTGTGGTGGTGTAGTGGTGTAGCGGTGTAGCGGTGTATTGGTGTAGTGGTGTAGTCATTCCATGTAGAATGGAACGTTGTTGATTAATCCTGTTAATTTATACATCTAAATAATAATAAAGTTCACATAATTTGTTGTGTCAGGTGATGCATGAGTTTGAAGATTTGAGCAGCTTTTGGAAACGATACAACAAGGTGTCACTGGATAAAATGTCATTAGGTTAGTCCTTTCTCTCCCATGTAATTTCATTATTTCAAATTACTGAAAACATTGTCGATGACTGACTGAAGGGTATTATTTATTGTTGTGTTTATGGATAGTGTGACAGTACTTCTCCTGTCAGACCAAGCCCGAGTACAGCTGACCCAAGAGAACCAGCAGCTCAGGACCCTCCTCAAGCAGTATCTGGATGGTATCAGTGTTAGTGACGAGATATTATCCCACAACAACCCCCTCTTTATCGTCAACAATCGCAGCAATCTTCCGTTAGTAACTATATATATATATATATATATACTACTCTTCTTATATGTGTTTATTTTATAAGTTATTTAATCTATTAATCTATAGAATTATCACTATAGAAGTATAGAGGAAGTGAGGATGGTACACTCCACTAGGATTCCTCTATATGTTCCACACAAATGAACGATTGTTAGATATCCCCTTAGAAATTGTAGTCCCGCACAAATACTGCAGAATACTGCTTGCCTCAAAAGTCAAATATAGTAGTGTAGTGGCACTCCCACTTCATAGCAAACTTAGACTTGGTGATTTAATCTTCTGTCGCAAGACTAGACAAGCGTTGTAAAAGCGAATTTTTTGTTCTCTAAGTCGCAAGCTTGATTCAAGGTGCGTGAATTACATGTAATTCATCTGTTACTGTTCTTACTTGTTGAACTCACTTCGTTAGTTACGATCTTAAACTCCACATTTACTAATTAAAGAATAAAAATGCCTTGATTAATTAAATGCAACTTCTTAAATTAATTAGTAAACCAAATTAAAGCCTGTTTGATTTCCAGAGACCTGCGGGCCTGCTATCCCCACAGTTTGTAAGAATGGTCTCGTCACCAATATGGAGCAGTGAGGAGTGAGGAGTGATACTCCGCAGCCGGTCTCGTCACCAATATCGAGCAGTGAGGAGTGATACTCCGCAGCCGGTCTCGTCACCAATATGAAGCAGTGAGGAGTGATACTCCGGTTTACTGGTATCCTGTTAACAGTGTTTAGCCAATTAGGTGGTTTAACCTGATGAGCCAGGATATTGATTGCCTCCCCACTGAAATGATAACTCCACACAGCATCCCTCCTTAGTTACCATTACCTAGCAACCACACCCTCCCCCCTTATAACTTTATAAATGAATTGCTCTGGCCCATGATACAGTCTCTTTTACTACCCATACTGCATAACACACAGAATATGCTCATATTGACATATTTTAAAATCTTCTTTAGGATTTGAACGCGCTAAAATTATAGATCTGTTTGATGAGCTCAGTGTTTAGTTCCATTTTACTGACACCACGGCATCAACTTTAACACGAATTTCCGCAAAAACCGTAAAAGATATACAACTTAAACTTTTATGACTGATTCGAATGCTTTAATGGCCTTCAAATCCGCATGAAAAAAATAAAAAAATTGGCCAAGGAATAAGAATTTTAGTGCCCAAAATTTGGACCCCCAAGTGTTGTCAAAAACGCGAATTAAATAGGTAATAATTATTTTAGTCTCTTGAGTCTTGAGGGTTAAACGGGTTCCTGCTAGTATTAATGATTAAATCAAGTCCTTCTGTAACATCCTAAATAAATGCAATATTCTATTAGCGTTGTAATTAGTTTAAATATCTTATATTTCGCTTCGTAGATTACAATGAAAAAGTAAGATTTACCACTAATCTATGACGCTGGTTTACTGTGGTTTACTACCATTTGGTGTAGTTAATCAGTAGGTCGTATACTACTTGTCTGGTACCTCTCTGATTGGTTAAAAATTAAGTTAAATTTATATTACTGTCCTAGATCATTTCCCAGAGGCGCCCACGATCAAAGTGCGCTATCGGTGAAGAGTTGATTACACCAACTTCGCTCTCGAGCATTTAACCCATTCGATATCATCTTTGCGCCGTCCTTATCCTAGCTTCCTGAATCCTATATTAATTAATCAAGTACCTGGAATCAGTAACTTTCGTCAGATTCTGGAGTCGTAGCAGTAATTTAACTAAGAGCTTTAACTATCCTTCGCTAGGATAGTTAAAGGATTGTTAAGGATTGTTAAGGATTGTTAAGGATTGTTAAGGATTGTTAAGGATTGTTAAGGATTGTTAAGGATTGTTAAGGATTGTTAAGGATTGTTCAGCTCACTACTCACTACTCACTACAAATGTTGCTATACCCTCCACAAGGAGTAATGCTATCTTATTATTTAGAGTTACTGTTACCTAGCAACTAGAGTTACCGTTACCAAGCAACTAGAGTAACCGTTACCTAGCAACTAGAGTTACTGTTACCAAGCAACTAGAGTTACCGTTACCAAGCAACTAGAGTTACCGTTACCTAGCAACTAGAGTTACCGTTACCAAGCAACTAGAGTTACCGTTACCAAGCAACTAGAGTTACCGTTACCTAGCAACTAGAGTTACCGTTACCTAGCAACTAGAGTTACCGTTACCTAGCAACTAGAGTTACCGTTACCAAGCAACTAGAGTTACCGTTACCTAGCAACTAGAGTTACCGTTACCTAGCAACTAGAGTTACCGTTACCTAGCAACTAGAATACGAAGTGTGATGGAGAAAGGGTGGAAATGAAGATGATTTGCAACGTGACAATCAGTAGTAGTATATATAAAGTAGTACAATGAACTGTGGTCCTTCATTTCTTAGCTGTCTCAGTATGTCAGTGTCTCGCAATATCCTATGTTGGACGAGTAATCAGTTACTTGTTTGACTTTAGTTCAAACAAGATAACATTCTGCTAGTTGTAAGAAGTGGCATACGTCCTGCAGGCTGACAGGTCGCTCTCCACCATTTAAGCATTTATCAGATTTGACAACTAGTCGTCGCCCTTTTATATCTTAAGATTATTATAAGATTATAAGTTTTGTTTTTTGAAGCAGTCTTAATTTCTTGGATGAATTACAAGTTACAAGCTCTTAGACGAGTATGGAAGTGAAGTTTAGCGTCAAATTCGCTCTGTCGTTTGGGGGATATTTAATAGAGCACGTGATATATATATGTCGCTAGCATCTAGTTGGAGCTGATTGGACAGTGGGTTGTAACGTCATGCTCGCAGTCTGGTTAAGAAAGGATCTTGGTGGCACTAAAGAGTTTGATGATAATATTTGGTGGGTATATAAAGCAGCCGTTTAGAGGTGGGTATATAAAGCAGCCGTTTATAGGTTCTCAGTTCATTTCTGGTGACCTTTATCTGTCCACCACTTAGACACACTTTTATAGATCTCTAGTTATCAAGTAAAAGTCAATTACTGTTTTCTTTTATATTCATTTTAAAATAGCATGACTTTTTTTCGCCATTTTCATCCCAAAAATTCCCAGAAAAAAAGGGATGACACTTCGTTTCACACCTTCACGTTTCTAATTGCAGGCTCAACCCTTTCTAAGGAAATCGCACTTAGATGAAGTGTTAGTGTCGGGTGGGATGCTATTTAAACAGCCTTGTAGATTGAGATTTGATGCAATATTCTGATATCACCCTTTGCAATATTGACTTCTTTTTAAAGCATGTGTTGTTCGCAGTAGCTCAAACCTTGACAAGTTGCACTGTGAGTCTAAACTTATTCTCAAAGAGTTTGTGTTAGTCACGTGATAGCTTCATCATTACACAAGTGCAGTAAATACTGCACCATCATTACACAAGTGCAGTAAATACTGCACCCACAAGTGCAGTAAATACTGCACCCACAAGTACAGTAAATACTGCACCCACCCACCTAAACTGATTAATTTCATTCTGGGTGTTGGGTCACGTGATATCCAATACTTTAGTACACTTCTATCATTTTCTCACGTTCTCCGCCTCATATTAATTATATTTGGTAGTAGTAACTAGAGTTACCGTTACCTAGCAACGCGCGCACATCATGACACCCGGGTAGGGTTAGGGTGCACCCAATACATTGTAGTAGTGTAGTGGGTGTAAGTTCTACCTTATTTGTGACATATTTCAGCTCTAGCTTATTTGTGACATATTTCAGTTCTAGCTTATTTGTGACATATTTCAGTTCTAGCTTATTTGTGAAATTTTTCAGTTCTAGTTTATTTGTGACATATTTCAGTTCTAGCTTATTTGTGACATATTTCAGTTCTAGCTTATTTGTGACATATTTCAGTTCTAGCTTATTTGTGACATATTACAGTTCAATTAGTCAGTAAACTCATGGGTATTAAAGTATTAAGCGTGTGTGACTTAACTTTAAGAAACGTTATTTAATCGTTTAATTTAACAACAGTCACATTTAACAAGTTGGTTACAAAACTTTGCGCAATTCTCAAATTGAATATGCGGATTTTGATTGGATTTTTGACAGATTCATTAACAGAGAAAATGAATTAGTCGTGATCTTGACACAGTTTCAGTGTAAACCAGCGGTAAAATTAGAAGAGAATATCATTTCTGATGTTCTACCATTTTACCATCTGACGTTTGACAAACTGTATTGCTTAAACGTGTAGTTTTATCTAGCTGAATAGTAGTAGTACTCAGTAGTAATAATAGTGGTACTTACTACTCAGTAGTAACATTAACTCTTCTCTACAGCTGTTGTTTAACCAAACCATTCGTTTCTGTATAATATATTTTAGACAAGTTCTTCGGTTTATCAATCGTAAGAATTAAAAAACATTTTTGTTTTAATAATGTACCCTAGAAGAATATTTGAACCCAGGTTTTAGATGCTCTACTTGTAACCAGTGGTCTCCTGAATTCATATATAATATGAAATATCATCAAGATTGGACAAAAGATGACTGAGTTAGGAGCCGAAAACCATATGCCCAAATTTGGGCATACGCACCAAATTTAATAGATTTCGGCCCATAAATTGGTCAAATATCAATATTTTTGAATGAGACTAACTTTATGTGAAAGGTAAGCCTAAACTACATATTGTCTGTAAGTTATAGCTTTATCAACTGCTACCTTAACATAAAAAGTTGTTTACAAAATAAATCCGTGGTTTATTTTTATCTGTTTTATCTGTTTAACTGGTCCTTCTTTTCATATATTAATCTTTTCTTTCAAGAGCAGTAAGATCACAAATTCAAATATTTCGAGGCTTTATCCCTTTATCTGGTTTTCTGATCTGCTCTGCTCGTTATCCCCCTTCGCATTAGTCACACAACATTACGCCGTCCTAGCTTTCACTTGACAGACATGAATACAGTAGCGAAGTGGTGCACAGGTACTGCAGGGTAGAGGACCTCTTCACTTGACAGACATGAATACGGTAGCGAAGTGGTGCACAGGTACTGCAGGGTAGAGAACCTCTTCACTTGACAGACATGAATACGGTAGCGAAGTGGTGCACAGGTACTGCAGGGTAGAGAACCTCTTCACTTGACAGACATGAATACGGTAGCGAAGTGGTGCACAGGTACTGCAGGGTAGAGAACCTCTTCACTTGACAGACATGAATACGGTAGCGAAGTGGTGCACAGGTACTGCAGGGTAGAGAACCTCTTCACTTGACAGACATGAATACGGTAGCGAAGTGGTGCACAGGTACTGCAGGGTAGAGAACCTCTTCACTTGACAGACATGAATACGGTAGCGAAGTGGTGCACAGGTACTGCAGGGTAGAGGACCTCTTCACTTGACAGACATGAATACGGTAGCGAAGTGGTGCACAGGTACTGCAGGGTAGAGAACCTCTTCACTTGACAGACATGAATACGGTAGCGAAGTGGTGCACAGGTACTGCAGGGTAGAGGACCTCTTCACTTGACAGACATGAATACGGTAGCGAAGTGGTGCACAGGTACTGCAGGGTAGAGAACCTCTTCACTTGACAGACATGAATACGGTAGCGAAGTGGTGCACAGGTACTGCAGGGTAGAGGACCTCTTCACTTGACAGACATGAATACGGTAGCGAAGTGGTGCACAGGTACTGCAGGGTAGAGAACCTCTTCACTTGACAGACATGAATACGGTAGCGAAGTGGTGCACAGGTACTGCAGGGTAGAGAACCTCTTCACTTGACAGACATGAATACGGTAGCGAAGTGGTGCACAGGTACTGCAGGGTAGAGAACCTCTTCACTTGACAGACATGAATACGGTAGCGAAGTGGTGCACAGGTACTGCAGGGTAGAGAACCTCTTCACTTGACAGACATGAATACGGTAGCGAAGTGGTGCACAGGTACTGCAGGGTAGAGGACCTCTTCACTTAACAGACATGAATACGGTAGCGAAGTGGTGCACAGGTACTGCAGGGTAGAGAACCTCTTCACTTGACAGACATGAATACGGTAGCGAAGTGGTGCACAGGTACTGCAGGGTAGAGGACCTCTTCACTTGACAGACATGAATACGGTAGCGAAGTGGTGCACAGGTACTGCAGGGTAGAGGACCTCTTCACTTGACAGACATGAATACGGTAGCGAAGTGGTGCACGGGAACTGCAGGGTAGAGAACCTCTTCACTTATACTTTCCACTTCTCTCTGGTTCAGAGCTAGGATCACCGTCAGACTCTCCCTGAACTCTTCCTTCGTCATTCCTCTCGTTCTAAGGGTGGAGGGTGGAGGAGTCAATGTTAGCCTCTTCAGTTTTATCAATGTTGTTACTTTACTAAGTTTACTTTACACTTACTCACTTTATAATGTGATGTTTTAATATGATTTAATTGTGCAACCCACAAATTATATTCCTTTATAAAGTTATAATATAGGAAGTTGCTCCAGACAGTTGGTTCCCGTGATTTATAAAATTTTACATAACCTATTTAAAAATTTAGACCAATGCACTTCTTAGCTTAACAATTACCAAGAAACTTCGGGTAATCGCTGTTAATAACCGCTTGGCCAGGCAAGCTAAGCAGTTAATTGTCTCTCACTAGTTTAAATTAATCAAATTAAATTATCTGTTAACCCCAATATCTTGTGAGCACTTTGCAGTAAATCTGCTAGTTTTCAATAAAAGATGTGACGCAACAAGTTGAAGTGTTACACAAAGTGTTACACAAAGTGTTACACAAAGTGTTACACAAAGTGTTACACAAAGTGTTACACAAAGTGTTACACAAAGTGTTACACAAAGTGTTACTTACCGCTGTTGTGCGTGTTTAAAGTACACTATTTCAGCATCAGTAGTGTTGACCCGAGTCCCAGGTCCCACCAGATCCAATTCTCGTAACATCTGGAAGGTGTTAATTAACTTTCACAATATTCACATGACTTACTGTTCTTTAATTAACGTATTCTGTAACTAACATGTTATAGTGGCGTCTAAAACTCTGTATAACTAATAACAGCAGTAATATTGTTATAATTAAGAGGAGACTAAAATCCCACTTTACACAGCCCCGTTATCCCTCCAGTTGCTAACTAGTGCTCTCTCGTTAAAGCTCCGTAACACGTGCAGTAATAGGCTTAGTGTGGGGTGTAGTTCGTACAATCTGTCGCGAGGATAGGGGTGTAGTTCGTACAGTCTGTCGCGAGGATAGGGGTGTAGTTCGTACAATCTGTCGCGAGAATAGGGGTGTAGTTCGTACAGTCTGTCGCTAGGATAGGGGTGTAGTTTGTACAGTCTGTCGCTAGGATAGGGGTGTAGTTTGTACAATCTGTCGCGAGAATAGGGGTGTAGTTCGTACAATCTGTCGCGAGGATAGGGGTGTAGTTCGTACAATCTGTCGCGAGGACAGGGGTGTAGTTCGTACAATCTGTCGCGAGGAAAGGGGTGTAGTTCGTACAATCTGTCGCGAGGATAGGGGTACGGGTGTAGTTCGTACAATCTGTCGCGAGGATAGGGGTGTAGTTCGTACAATCTGTCGCGAGGATAGGGGTGTAGTTCGTACAATCTGTCGCGAGGATAGGGGTGTAGTTCGTACAATCTGTCGCGAGGATAGGGGTGTAGTTCGTACAATCTGTCGCGAGGATAGGGGTGTAGTTCGTACAATATGTCGCGAGGATAGGGGTGTAGTTCGTACAATCTGTCGCGAGGATGGGGGTGTAGTTCGTACAATCTGTCGCGAGGATAGGGGTGTAGTTCGTACAATCTGTCGCGAGGATAGGGGTGTAGTTCGTACAATCTGTCGCGAGGATGGGGGTGTAGTTTGTAGAGGATAGGGGTGTAGTTCGTACAATCTGTCGCGAGGATAGGGGTGTAGTTTGTACAATCTGTCGCGAGGATAGGGGTGTAGTTCGTACAATCTGTCGCGAGGATAGGGGTGTAGTTCGTACAATCTGTCGCGAGGAATTTTAATTGGTGCTCCCCGCCAACCATATCGCTAAATGGCATGCATTTAAATTGTGTATGAGTATTGCTGTATGTTTTGAATTTTGAAGGTCGGAACTTCGACTTGCTTGGAAACAGTTTTACTGGAACATTATTATTTATTGGTCGTGGCATTTTTTAAATTGGCAATATAATTTACCTTGTATGTGTTTAGTCAACCAAAGTAATACGATTTAGTCTAAACAGGTTCAATCTTGTAAATATCTACTGAAAAATTTACATTTCAAAAATTGCATTAGAATCAAAGAATCTCTCCAGAATTACGATTGCTTAAACTGCTCTCGACATAATATTAACGTTATATTTGATTCGTTACAAATTAATCGATATTGTGTCGAGCCACAATCAAGGTGCAAAGTTTCTTTTAACGTTTTAAGCAATCTATTTATCAGATTATTATCCTTGCTGTGATATTCACCTTGAAGTCAATTTTGAGTCTTTTGCTACGTATTCTTTACAATCGTTCAAGCGATGAACGCTTTATTTGATATCAATTTGTAACTTAAATTTCTCTGTCACCGTCAATACAAAAGATTTTACTGTAAACTGATTTGTATTTTCCGTCTTCCTGACCAGTTGTAACAGAAGATGATTATTTTATTGACGACAAGGAAAATTATTGTTCCGATATTGCGATAACCTTCAATGTTTACCCATTTCTTACAATTAATATACAGTTACCTGTAAGAAGCGTTTCTCAGTCAGCCTATCTTTGTCGTTCATTAGTTTGGTGTACTCAGTAAAGTTTTCAAAGTTCTTTCTCACTACAAACTCTGCTCTACTCTCCTCTGTCCTCTCCTCCTCCTCTTCCTCCTCTTCCAGATCCTCCTCCTCGAGAGGTTCTGCACTGGGGATTTTCAGGGAGTGTGTGGAGTGTAAGGAGTGTGTGGAGTGTAAGGAGATGAAACTACCACTGTCCTGGTCAGGGATCAGACCCTCAGGTTCCTCTGAAGGTGATGGAGACAGATTGTCGCCCGGAGATTCAACCTCGGAACCCTCTCTAGTGCTAGATACTGCTGTTATAATTGCTTCACTCAGTGTAATAGCTGTTTCTATTATTGACTTATGTTCGGTTGTCGTGTCAGGATCTTCATCATTCTCCATCGTGATATCGTCTAGAGTTATCTCCTCTTCCTTCTCCGCCTCCTGATCTTCACTTATTGCTGACAAGGCCTTCCTAACTATTGACTGGGCTCGTTCCAACAGTTCGACTTCTTCGTTATCACTCATTGCCACGCTTTCTTGCTGAATGGTGTAAGATACAATAATTTAGCGTGTAAAAGTGATTTTGCCTTAGACAAAAAGGAAGATGTGGAATGTGAGGGAAAGCACACTGTGGAGCTGTCTCAGTGACGCAAACACAAAGATAAACTAAACAAGACAAAGAGATGTCAGCAATAAACTATACTGGTTTAAATTAGTAACACAAAACAGGTAACCAATGTACCGATAATAAAAGGCAACATCGCCCGAGCTTGAAAACATTATTAGTGACCATGACAACAGTAAAGCATTACTCACTCCACACTGAATCAGTATATTTGATTTGTGTCCATGGCGACGGTTTCTTGAAATGTGATACGACACATTGCCCGGGTTTTAGGTTAACCCTGGTCCTAATCTTTTCCGCAGCCTAAAACGGAAGGATTGTGGGAATATCAAAATAGCTTCGATAAACCAAATAGTATCAGTAGTCATCAGATCCTAACAGACTCTATTTATTATATAACATAATATACTATAATATTATGTATATTATATGATAAATCTCTAGTTAAATATACCCACGGCTACTAGGAGATACTATTTAAAGGCAGTTTTGGAAGAAGTCCAGAACGCTAAACTGTTGAGAGTTGGAAGTAGTGGTGGTAGTAGTCGTTATCTGTACTAGTAGTTCCTGTTAGTAGTCACTACTACTAGTTATAAAATATAAATAGATCTTTATATCTATTACACTAGAAGACCGATCTGACCAGCTTTTAACAGTCGGACCGAAACTTTACAAAGTTATGTAGCTAAAGTTATGTAGCTAAAGGTATGTAGCTAAAGTTATGTAGCTAAAGTTATGTAGCTAAAGTTATGTAGCTAAAGTTATGTAGCTAAAGTTATGTAGCTAAAGTTATGTAGCTACAGTTATGTAGCTAAAGTTATGTAGCTACACCCTTGTGTCTGGTGATTGGCTAGTTAATACTCTAGGTTTATAACAAGTAAAACAGTAGCTGGTTCAGACCTCTCCTTACACTCCACACACTTAGCCGTATTGAAACTTAAATCCAAACTGTCTTGAAACGAGAAATCCTATTTTTAGTTTTGTTTGATTTGATCTGTAGTGAGCGGCAATCAGGAGTTTATAAATCAGGTATTTAATGGAGATTATAAGTTTTATTGTCTAAAAATAAATTCTCTGAAAAATGGGTTTATCCTGTTTTAATTTGACCATATTGAGAATATGGATTATGGAGTGGTGCATTAAACAAGGACTAAAATATAATATAAATTAAATACTCGCCATCCTTAACCCCTGTAATTCAATGCATTCTAAATCTTTAATTTAATTTAAATGATATAATATACCAATAATATTATTATTCCTAAATATATATTATTTATTTGCCGACTAACCTGCTGTATTTCAGAATGAGAATACACGTTGATCCACGACAACGTCACCAAGTAAAAACGGTGGTAGAAGCAGCTCATATCGTCCACAACACGATCTAACGAGGGAGATAAGAAGATAACACATCCAGATAATAGAGTAACGCATTCCTCAGCGACCTGTGTCGGGCACTTTCTTCGCAGAGGAAAGGTCTTGTCATGCAAAAAGCGCACATTTGGGACAGATTTTATTTATTGGTAGTCAGTTTGTGCGCATTACATAGCTGAACATGGAAATTAACGTTTATTTCCGAGATCCCAGATTTTAATTTCAAGATTTACAAGTTTCCCGTTTTAATATTCGCGAACTAAGATAATCTTCAATTTGTTAGAAAAGGGTGAACAGGAAACAAAAAGTTAAAATTCAAGACTTCCTAGATATTTGATAATATCGATCATATTAACTTTTACTCCACGTACAGCGTAAGGGAAAATTTTGCCGGTACTGTCAAGGAAATTGACTTGGCTGACTGCCAAGACTGCGATATAAACCTTCAGATATTTCTTTGTGGTATTATATCAAAGACTTTTATCATACAGCTTACAGATTTCAGCCCTTCTGGAAACTTCCACAATAACGGCCATATAACGAGATAACATTTCTCTTAAACATATCATTTAAACATGTTGAGTCCAGATGTTTCGTAACACCTAAAGCCCGACAATTGTGTATTTAAATGTTATTCAGAATACAAATTTCTCAAAACTAGCGTTTTACATGTGTCTTTAGTTAGAGGCTAGATTATCACCGTTACCATGGTAACGTATTACCTATGGCTATACCTATTAGCTATTATTTATTACAATTACGAAAAACGTAAAGCAGAACTTGGAATACTGAATACAATATTTGCATTTAAGTATTTAATCTTGACACTGACAGCTGTCACAACAACCAGCTATTCAAACTCTTCAGATTAATGTAAAATATTTGTTTTAAAAGTAAAAGCTTGATAACGGAGTTCTTTGTGGTGGACTGGGTCGTGTTTGTTGAACTTGCTTCATCCTAATACCATTATACTACCACCGTCCACCACTACTTAAATTACATGTATAATACATAACCTCAGAAGCAACCCTCAAATTGCTCAATATTTAAATTTGCTACCTCAGCTGATGTTTACAGCTGTAAATATGCTTTTATTGAAATTGAAAACCACACCTTTAAAGTTTAATACCTACAGGAGTTTGTCACGTTGCGCGAGCTAGTGGTATCTTCTTTGAGTAGAACCATATTCACTATATTTTAATATCTCACCATATTCGCTATATTTTAATATATCTCACCATATTCACTATATTTTAATTTTTAATATATCTCAACATCGTTCACTTCAAGCCCACAATTCTCCACTAAAGTGAATTATCTTGAATCTGCACCTACTTACAAGGTTTAACACTGTAGGTAACTTGTTCACTTAGAAGGTTTCCTGTACCTCACTTTCCAGTGTTTTCCCAAAACACAGACCTGTTAATTGTCCGTAACACTGAGTACCACTACTATTACTAACACGTGCTCCGACCCTACAACACCACTACAACTACTACTGTATATCAGTATATCCACACTAAGTGTGCCAGTATTCCACACTTGTTAGTTGTAATACTGGCACCCTGACTCCTCGACAGGGACAAAAGGAAATCGCAGCAAGTACGGGATCGCGATTTTTCCCATTCTTTGCAACAAATTTTATGTGTCGTCTGTTTGGCTTGTTTGGTATCGCGATTTTTGGACAAAATAATCGCGATTTTCTTTTGTCCCTACTCCTCGATACTTTGGTTGTTGGGCACCCTCTGCTGTCAGCAGCGTTTATCTTACTCCTCGATACTTTGGTTGCTGGGCACTCTCTACTATGAGCAATACTGGTATGCTAATAATAATATATTATGTCATTATTTCCCGTTATTTACTAATCAATACTATGATAAGAGGGGTGAAGCCTGATTGCCTGTACGTGCACCTACCTGACATACCTGACTATCATGAGATAACGGCAGATATGTACTACTAGTACTACAGATATGTCTTAAAGGTCTGAACTCGATTAATGAGCTGATAGCTTCAGAAAACACGCTCACTATGGTGTCACATGCTGCTTCACTTTAATTCTACACTGAAGTTAATCTGATTAGATCAGCGTACTCACGGCGATTAGTAGATCTGTAGATTAGTATAGTAGATCTGTAGATTTATTACTGTTTGCCGCTAATCTTGAAATTAAGGGGCTACGAGTACGTGCTTGCTGCCTGCTTGATATTGACTGTAGATTACTGATTACTATTCGCTTTTCGCTTAGATTGCGGTCGTTGTAATGTTTTATTGTGCCTCTAGTATTATATATATATTATATAACATTGATACACGTTAGATATACTCAATACTATTACTGGTATATATAGTATCGGCTGCTTATTTTCATTCACAAAAAGCTTTATATTTTGCTCCCTTTGTACTCCCTCTACACAGACTCCCTCTAAACCTGCTCCCTCTACACAAACTCCCCCTACACAGACTCTCTCTACACAGACTCCCTCTACACAGACTCCCTCTACACAGACTCCCTCTACACAGACTCCCTCTACACAGACTCCCTCTACACAGACTCCCTCTACACAGACTCCCTCTACACAGACCCCCTCTACACAGACTCCCTCTACACATACTCCCTCTACACAGACTCCCTCTACACATACTCCCTCTACACAGACTCCCTCTACACAGACTCCCTCTACACAGACTCCCTCTACACAGACCCCCTCTACACAGACCCCCTCTACACAGACTCCCTCTACACAGACTCCCTCTACACAGACTCCCTCTACACAGACTCCCTCTACACAGACTCCCTCTACACAGACTCCCTCTACACAGACTCCCTCTACACAGACTCCCTCTACACAGACTCCCCGCACACAGACTCCCCTTTTCATTTAGAAGTCGACTAAATTACTAATGTAAGTCAGACAGTCTTCTCTTTAAAACGTGTATTTGCTTCAAAGTGAATTTTGCTAAAATTATGTCACATGTTATTAAAGTATTAATGGTACAGAACTGCGTGACTGAGACTCAAAAAATCAAAAACCTGATTAACCATAATTGATAATACTTTCTTTCCGCCAAAGTGTTCGTTATATCGCGTTTTTACTGTACATTCAAACAATTGCTCATCTAAAACCCACGTACCCATGATATTCCAAATTAATTAGAGGTCACTTATAAGTTCAAGATGATTTGTTTTGCACCCATGGTCTTTGTTTGTCCGCTAGGCTACAGTGAGGTTTGCTAGAGTTCTCATATTATTTTAACTCCTGCAACTTTCAGCATACAACAAGACATAATCACATAAAATCAAATCAAGCTGATTTCTTTGCTCCCAGCACCGCCGCTACCCTTTATACCCCCTTCACTATTTTTTGATTTTTTTTTTCTTCATTCAGAAATTCATCAAAAGTCGTTCAGAAAGTTTATTTTACTTTAGTTCAAAATATTCTAATTCATTGTTTTAAAAATGTTTTTAATTAAAATAAAAAAATAAAATAAATATGCAACCTACGAAAACCAATTGTGCCCTCCCCGGGGTCTTTCCTCTCGCATTTGCTAGAGTCTCCAATCACCAATGGTGTAAAAGGAGGTCAGAATTTGTTCACACCAAGCTCTAACATCGTTATTTGTTGACCATCGGCCTTCACTAAAGGTAGGTTTTTAGAGTGAAGGCCGTCAGCTTGGAATGCAGGAAATACAACGTCAAGTGGGAAACAACGTCAAGTGGGAAACAACGTCAAGTGGGAAACAACGTCAAGTGGGAAACAACGTCAAGTGGGAAACAACGTCAAGTGGGAAACAACGTCAAGTGGGAGACAACGTCAAGTGGGAAACAACGTCAAGTGGGAAACAACGTCAAGTGGGAAACAACTTTAAGTGGGAATCAACGTCAAGTGGGAAACAACGTCAAGTGGGAAACAACGTAAAGTGGGAAACAACGTCAAGTGGGAAACAACGTCAAGTGGGAAACAACGTCAAGTGGGAAACAACGTCAAGTGGGAAACAACGTCAAGTGGGAAAAAAACGTCAAGTGGGAAACAACGTAAAATGGGAAAACAACGCCAAGTGGGAAACAACGTCAAGGCCCCTTCCTACATGGGCCATGTTGGTTTTGGCAGATACTGTAGTAATAAAATATGAAGTGAATTGAGTGAAATGAAGTGAGTGAAAAGGTTGTAATATTAATAAAGGAGGGGGTTATAAGGTAATTATCTCTATATCATGTCATGTATAAAAGGCACGGTCATGCTTGCCAGCACTAACGTCAAGATACAAATTTCCTGCCAAACTCATATTTATAAAACATAATTGATAATAAAACATACTTTAGCCTTAGGCTTCCGTTTCGGCTTACCTTCACATCCATGTAAATAGAAGTAAGTCTTACTAAAAAATATTGATATTATTATTAATACGCTGAAAATTATTTTATTTGGCCACAATTTACGAGCCGTAGAGCAACCATAAGCTTGGTTTTCATGGCAATTTTTGTCCACAAATGGGCCAAATATGGTCATGGCTACCTCGCGGACAACGGTGATCGTTGTCTGAGTTAGCAACCCCCCCCCCCCCCCCCCCCCCCCCCCCCCCGTTTGTTGGGGCTGCTCTCTCAATCATCAAAAATACCGGGCTAAAACCCCCTCCACCCCCTCCACCCCCTCCACCCCCTCCACCCCCCTCCACCCCTCACCCCCTCTTACCTTCACACTCGAAATGTACCCAAATTAACATTGCTCAGAATACGCACCATTTAGTAGCTGGATGGGTGCAGCCGACCGTAAAGTAGCTCAAGATAAGCTCTGATACGTGTATCGGTGTCTGCTTTCAGTAGTTTTCTGATTAGCAGGTAGCGATACCATTGAAAGGAGCAGCCTGACCCACAGAGGGAGAGAGAGAGAGAGAGCCTGACCCACAGTTCCCAATATAATGGCAGGACCCTGCTATATCGATACATCTGATAACCACCTGCTACTAGCAGACTAGCTCTCACTGCCTACCAACCTGCTTACCTACTCTCACTCAAAACCAGCTCACCTTAATAAGGACAGCGTGTTCTGATGCTCTTTGTTTTGTTTTGACGCTCTCTGTTTTGTTCTGACGCTCTGTTTTGTTCTGACGCTCTCTGTTTTGTTCTGATGCTCTCTGTTTTGTTCTGACGCAGTGACGCTCTCTGTTTTGTTCTGACGCAGTGACGCTCTCTGTTTTGTTCTGACGCTCTCTGTTTTGTTTTGACGCTCTCTGTTTTGTTCTGACGCTCTCTGTTTTGTTTTGACGCTCTCTGTTTTGTTCTGATGCTCTCTGTTTTGTTTTGACGCTCTCCGTTTTGTTTTGATGCTCTCTGTTTTGTTCTGACGCAGTGACGCTATATGTTTTATTTTGATGCTCTCTGTTTTGTTCTGACGCTCTCTGTTTTGTTCTGACGCTCTCTGTTTTGTTTCGACGCTATCTTCTGATCTCAGTTTTTACGATATCTGTTCTGTTATAACTGTCTTTTCTGTTTTAACGCCTCCTCTTTCCGCTTTCTCTTCTCTTTTTCGACTTTTTTTGTACTGTTTAGTGCTTTAACCGTGTGTCGACCTAATTGCTGGTACATGAACCAACTATTTAAACTAAGTTATCTAGGTGGTATTCCTGGATTATTCCTAGATTGGTGGTTTCTCAAA